CCTCGTGATGGTGTTGTGGTCTATGTTCCGGATGATGCTCTGGACGATGCTCTGGATGATGCTCTGGACGATGCTCTGGATGATGCTCTGGACGGTGCTCTATATGATGCTCTGGACGATGCTCTGGATGATGCTCTGGACGATGCTCTGGATGATGCTCTGGACGATGCTCTGGATGATGCTCTGGACGATGCTCTGGATGATGCTCTGGACGGTGCTCTATATGATGCTCTGGACGATGCTCTGGATGATGCTCTGGACGATGCTCTGGATGATGCTCTGGATGGTGCTCTGGATGCCATTCAGGTTGGTGCCACTCAGGTGCCGGTGCCGGATGAAATTCAGGCAACGGTGGCAACGGCTCTGGGTTCCACTCGGGTTTAACTACGTGACCGTACTGTACGGACAGTGCTATCATAGAAGATAACAAAATTAAAATTTTCATTGTTATTAAATAATAATAACAAATGTAAGTAAATTCAATATTTTTTATTTTTTTAACAATATATTAGAGTTAATTTTTGTTTTGTTAAACTCCAAAAAATTTTCAATTAACTTATTTTTGTTTCTCAAATAATGATTTTATACCTTTTTTTATTATAATAATTACATGTTTACAAATTTAAAAGATTTAAAAAAAAAAATTAATAATATTTGCAAAACATTTGTTAATATCTCAGGTGTTTTATATTGTAATTCAGATTTTTTTCTAAATTTCACTTATTTTAACAATTTTTTTGACAGTTGTTTAGTGTAATCGTTTAATGTAAAACAAACAAATCACACATTTTTTTGGAAACACCCAGGTATATCCTAATTACATTATAAAAACGTACATTTATATTAAAGTAATAACTTATTATTGTGTAAATTATTACTAATAAGCATTGCAACTATTATTTTATATTATTGCTAATTGTATTTTTTTACTAGTTATATAAACTATTATTACATTTTAATAATAATATAATTTTTAATTTTTTTCTATAAACTATATCAAATTAAAGTCAATCTAGTATATTAAAAAAAWTTAATTAGAAAAATAATATAATTAATATATAATTATAAGATATATCAGTTGTATTTATTATTTATTAAATAGTATGACTATATGTGTAATAAATGTTTTACAGACACAAAGCACTTAACCCTTACACAACTATTTGCACCTAATTTATAGACTAAAAACTATTTTATTGAAAATATGCTTACATTTTAATATTAATTTAAAATTACCTAAAATTATTAAGCAAATATTTTGAGAAATTAATTTTAATTTAATTAAATATACAAATATTACATAATTAAATACTCATTTAATACAATAAATAATATATATATATTTAAAATCCTATTATTTGTGAAATTTATGCCTTAATAACATTAGGTATTTCCTGACAGATCAATAGTTTGCTGTCCGAGTCCTCTAAAACCAACTCTAATTAGGACTTCGATCTTAGGGTAAGATTTTTCGACTTTCATCTGAAAGCTTAGCTCCTGATGTGAGCCCTTAGTTATGGGACAGTAAAGACCACCGTCTTTGCAGTCGTCACTAACAATAATTATATTAAAATTATATAACAGTTATAAAATTAAAGTAAAATTAAGTAGATTTTTATAGTACTAACAGGTGAGTAGCCGGAAAAGGGATAGTTGTGTCGGCAATTTGTAATGTAATTACATAAAAAATAATTACCAGTAAAACTTTTTTTTTATAAAAAAAATCGTATTATTTAAGTATTATTTACAATGGTCCATATTTTAATTGTTGTTTTACTAGAGTCGACACCTATTAAGACATATTTTTTATATAATATATTAATTAATAAAAAAATAATAAAAATTAATAGATTAATCCGTGAATCAAATTTAACAATAACTCCGCCATCGGTTCCCGTATTGAAGATTCCCGTAAGTATTATTATTATTTAATTAATATATTACTTTCACATTTATTGTATTGTTTTTAAATTTTAAATTTTCTTATTTAAAAAATTTAACTAATAATTTTATATATTAATATTATAATTTTACCTGTATATATATATTGATAGAATAATAAACATATTAACCGATTGCCTAATTCAAAATTAATCACTTATTAACTTTTATCTATAAGAATTCAAACAAACAAAAATTAAATTATATTTTGTAATTATTAATATTTATTGTCGTTAATTATTATTGTAATTATCAATTTATCAAAATTATTAATAAATTTAGTAATTTATTTGAATACTTAAATATAATTAACTATTAGTTAATTAGTCGTTGTTTAAGCCATAATGGTTTTTCGATATAGTAGCTGTTGGAAAGGTGCACATGATTTGCATAGTTTTAGAAAAAAATATTTATGTAAAGTATGTATATTTATAGTAAATTTGAATTTATTGAATAAATTTTTGTGTGATTTATTTTAATTTAATTATATTTATGTATTATATTATTAGTTATTACAATAAATAAACATATATTTAAAATACAATTAATTGACAAATTTATGCCTTAATAACAGCAGGTATTTCTTGACATAACACCATTTTGCCGTCCGAGTCCTCCAAACCAACTCTAACAACAAGTTCGACCTTAGGGTAGGACTGTTCGACTTTCATCTGGACATTCAACTCCTGGTGCGAGCCTTTAGTGATTGGGCAGTGGACACCACCGTCCTTACAAGCATCACTACAAACAATTGTTACAATTATTTATAAGTTAATACAATTTTTAGATAATTAAATAACTAAATATAATAAATAATTATTATTATACTAACGGATGAGTAGCTGGGAACGGGATGGGTGTGTCGGCAATCTATAGTGTAAAAAATGTTAAATAATAATTAATATTTTGAAAAAATAGAGTAATATTTAATTTAGTACTCACAACACCCCATAGTTTAGTTGTTGCTTTACTAGAGTCAACACCTATTAAGTCATACAAATAAAATTTATAAATTATGTTTTAAAAATAATATAATAATTTAGAAATTAAAATTTATAAACAACAACAAATAATAGTTTCATACGTGAATCAAATTTGACGGTAATTCCTGCATTGGTTCCCGCTTTGAAAACACACCGTTCATCGCTATCGGAACAGCCGTTAACTTTGGTCGACACAACAGTTCCGTCAACTGAACCGCAATCCTTGATATTGACTGCTTGAATGCCACCGACCAGTGCCACGACAGCCAATGATATGACTATAAATGAATTCATTATTAAAATTGTTGTAATGTTTTACTAAACTGACAACTCTTTGAATGTATTGTCAAACAATTTGAGAGACACTCTATTTATACAAATGTTTGTCTTAGTATTGATGAGCACCTGTAGAGTAGATGTAGGTTCTTATCATCAATTCAAGTTACTAAAGTGGTCTAGGTCCTTTTTATTAATAAATATCATATTTTATAATATATTGATAAAGATTCAAGATAGTTTCAATATTAATAATAATAATTCTATTTTATTTTCTCTTATTATGTTAAGAAATAAATGTTTTTTTTAATGATAACTGTATTAAAATTTTATAACTGCAATCCAATAAACGTAATGTATTTAAAACAAATTAATAGTATCAATAGTGTTGCTAACGAGTTAAGTTTTATGAGCAAGATAATTTTAGTCACTAATAACTGTTATATTAACTAATAAGTAATTAGAAATTTTATTCAAAGTTTATAAAAATTTTCATAATAATAAAAGGTCAATATTTAAATAATGAATGAAAAAATGGAAAATTATAATTTAATAGTAAATATTGGATAAATAATTATTTAATCGTAACTTAAAATTATATATACTGTATATACTGTATTAGTTATTCATTATTATGCATAAACTGTTAAATAATTAGGAAAGGGTTATTGAGTACTCAGTTATCTAATATAGTTTTAATGTAAATTTTAAAAATAAAATATCTTTAAGTGTTTTATTATATTATCAACAAAATAGACTCAATAAACCTTAGTGTGGGGTAAGTATATGGTGTGATATTATTATTTAATTAATCTATTACTTTCCCATTTATTGTATTTTTTGAAAAACATAAAATTATTTTGAATATATTGTAATAAATTTTATCTAATATATATTATATAATATAATTAACGTATTTATCAATTACCCAATTCAAAATTAATCACTATTTAACTTTTATATACAGGTATAGCAATTAGATGGTACCAATAAATTTTTTTTCAAACAAAAAATAACTTATATTTTAAAATCATTAATATACTTAACTTATTATAATTATTAATAATTTAATAATCAACACATAATATTATTTTTGAGTAATTACTTTACTTTCAATTAATTAGTTGTAATTACTGTCTAGTTATAATAGTATTAGTTATTATAGTAATATAGGGATCTTCAAACTCAATGGCACCCCATTACAAAACTAACATTGTATAGGTCAGTGATCACAATTAAGTGTTATCATGATAACTTTGTGATACATATATAACATAACTATTTTAACAGATATTTAATAGTAATTTTCATAATTTATATAAAACAATGAGTAAGTTAAACAAACACTTACTCATTTAATATGTACTAGTTTATTTATACAATTTTGTTTTATAAAGTTTAATTTTGATCACTGGTATAGGTTATAAATTATGACATAATAGTGCCAGGGTATAGTCATTTATTTTTATAGACAGTAAGTGTCAATAATTTGTTAAGTGTATGCAATACATTGTATTATATGATTATAAATGTCTTATTTAAACAAAGCACTTAATATTTAAACAACTGTTTGTATTAATTTATAAATCAAACTATCATTATATATATTGTAGAATAAATAGAAAAAAATCTGATGATTATAAATCTTAATATTAATGATTGGTATAGACGATCATTGTTTTAGATCAGAATACCGTATTAATTGGAAATATGTTTTTTATTTAAAAAAAATATTAATTTGATATTATTGAGCAATTTATTTGAGTAATTTATTTAATTTTAATTAAATTTATGTATATATATATATATATATATTAAATGATCAGATTTAATACAATAAATAAAATATATTTTAAAGTCCTATTATTTGTGAAATTTATGCCTTAATAACAGCAGGTATTTCCTGACATAACACTAGTTTGCCGTCCGAGTCCTCCAAACCAACTCTAACAACAAGTTCGACCTTAGGGTAGGACTGTTCGACTTTCATCTGGACATTCAACTCCTGGTGCGAGCCCTTAGTGATTGGGCAGTGGACACCACCGTCCTTACAAGCATCACTACAAACAATTGTTACAATTATTTATAAGTTAATACAATTATTTTTAGCTAACTAAATAATAATTAAAAATATTAGTAAATCATATATATTTTTATACTAACGGATGAATAGCTGGGAACGGGATGGGAACGTCGGCAATCTGTAGTGTAAAAAATTTTTATTAATAATTAATATTTTGAAAAATTAGAGTAATATTTAATTTTAGTACTCACAACACCCCATAGTTTAGTTGTTGCTTTACTGGAGTCAACACCTATTAAGTCATAGAAATAATATTTTAAATTAAGTATTTAAAATAATTTAATAACTTAGAAATTAAACAACAAATAATAGTTTCATACGTGAATCAAATTTGACAGTAATTCCTGCATCGGTTCCCGCGTGGAAAACACACCGTTCATCGCTATCGGAACAGCCGTTAACTTTGGTCGACACAACGGTTCCGTCAATTGAACCGCAATCCTTGATATTGACTGCTTGAATGCCACCGACCAGTGCCACGACAGCCAATGATATGACTAGAAATGAATTCATTATTAAAATTGTTGTATTGTTTTACTAAACTGACAACTCTTTGAATGATTCAAAATGTTTTGTCAAACAAATTGAGAGACACTCTATTTATACAAATATTTGTCTTAATAATGATGATCACCTGTATAGTAGATGTAAGTTCTTATCATTAAAGTTAAAGTGGTCTAGGTCCTTCGTATTAATAAATATCAAAATTAATTTGTAATTTTTTTTGATAAACATTACGAAACAATTTGATTTAATTAATTTTATAACAAGCAAGGTAGTATCGATAATAATAATAATTGTAATTATTATTATTCTCTTAAATTTTTTAATTAGTTTTTAAAAATAATAAATAATGATACCTATTAAATGGAAAATTTTATAAAATAAAAATTATAATTACTTTATTTAATTTTTAAAAATTATAAATTAAGTAATTGTCTGTATAAATGTAATTTACTACATAAATTTATAATATTAATTTTTGTTAAAAACAATTTACTGATATCCGTGTAGCTAAATGGTTATGTTTTAATGATCAAGGAAATCTTATATACTAATAGTTACTCGTTTATTTTAATTACAGTATTAATTACTTATAAATAATTCCTAACTTAGTTTTTTTAAATTATTATATTTATAATTGTCAATATTTAAAAATAATAATAATGTATTTCAATAGTTAATTTTGAATTAATAAAAATTTAATTTTAATTTATTAATATTATATGAAATTATTTTTTTTTAAATTGTTTCATGGATATATTGCTAGTTAATTAGGAAAGGGTTATTGGGTACTCAGATATCTATGAAATACATATCTCATAAATACCGTCTAAATTTTCAACAAATATTTTCAAGTGGTTTATTATATTATCAACAAAAATAGACTCAATAAACCTTAGTGTGGGGTAAGTATATGGTGTGATATTATTTAGTTAATTAAGTTAATTAATCTTTTTATAATTTAATTACTTTCCCATTTATTGTATTGTATTTTATTTTATTTTTTGAGTAGCATAGAAGTAATATTAATTTTAAAACTTATCTCATTTATTATATTAATATATTAGAAAATATAATTATATTATTGTTAAAATTAGACAATTGAAAAATTAATTATTATTTATCTGTAATCACTAAAAAATTAAATGTTTCAAAGTTTGAACTTCAAACAAATTAAAAATTATTTTTCCAAATTCTAAAATTGTTAATATATAAATTTGTGTAAAAATTAATAATGTATCTAAATTTTACAATACAAACTTTACTAATTAACTTATTATAATTAATTAATAGTTTGTTTAAATAAATATTTTCAGTTTTATTGAATTAATAAACTTAAAGGTAAACTTATTTTTTTAATGAATAATATTATTAATATAATTAACAATAGATAGCACTAAATATATACAGTTTATGTGTTAATGAATTTGATAATCTCATATTTTAAACAAATATTGATAATAAATTATTATTAATGATAACTATTGATATTTTATATACATGTACAACAGTTTATACTATTTTATTAATTAAATATATTCTCACTGTTATAATAAAGAACTGTAGTGTTAAACTATTTTTTATAAATATTATTTATTTTCTTATACATTAATTTATTAATTTACTTGTACATTGCATTTGTATTAAAAGTTGCAAGTTGACATTTTTTTGTGGTAAATTTTAAAAACTTTAAATTTTATAAATAATCTATTAATAGCATAAATAACTAATAAAAATAACAGACATATCACAAATAAATCAATTTATATTATTCATTAGTGTAACAATTTAACTGCTGGTATACAATGGATAGTAAGTAGTAAATTGGATACTATACTAAACAGTGTACACTGTATTGTTTAGCATAAATAATTTTGCTAATAAAACATAAATGAGACAAATGTTTCATTATAACATAATTCACACAATTACACAACAATATTTTTTGTAATTAAAATTGTATTATATATATAACAAATTGTATTTATTGTTTACTAAATAAATTGCTAGAAAAACAAATAAAAACAAATTCATAACATTGATTAAATTGTTTATCTAAAGATAGTAAATTTTAATATAATAATATAAACATTAAAATTATTATTATTAATGCTAAATAATTTTTATTAAGTTATTTGTCAATAATGGTAATTATACTAAACATAATTGTTTTTTGAAAATAGTTTAACAATATCCAACTAATAATATTATTATTTTATTTATAGACACAATTAAATATCAAGACTTTAGCATGGTTATGTATCATTTTATTGGTAATACTTCACAGCTACCAGTGCTCTGTAACCTATCGTGTCGTAGCACAGGATCCTAACAAAACAGAAGCAACTATTGTTATCAAAGAGCAGACACTTTACTGGACAGTCATATTGCGATATAATACTAAAGTTAGACTAAGGGTAATATCAATTGTTTATTTTTGTGGATATTTTAATGAATAATAATTTTTTAAATAAAATTTAGTAAACAATTTATAATATTTAATGTAATATCAGGTGAAATCTGGTGGTCGTATCACATCCTCGTCACCCGAGGGAAACATTTATGTTATTGGCGGCAATCCTATCACTGATAGCAATACTATTGATTTTATAGCCAAATATGACCGTAAATCGGGTGCCAAACTTATAAGGTTTTATATTTTTTATGATAAATTATTGAGTAAATTATATTTATTATTATTATTATATATTTTATATTTATTTTTTAAGTGCCACTTTTAATCGGAGACCTATTAAATTAATATAAATGATTTCAATGGTAAATATTTATACTTATATTTATACTGTATGGCTAAAAACTGGTATAATTGTATGAATAATTTTGTATAAATAATATCTAGATTTTATCATAAATTGCTAATTCATGTTGATTAATAAATTTAATATGCTAATTTTTGCAATATGTTATATTTAATGTAAATAACTTTGATATTATTATAATTTAAAGTGATTTTTAAAAATATTTTTTGCAAATTATTTATGTAATATACCGATATTATAATACCTATAGATTTTTTTTTTAATTTTTATTTATTAGTTGCAATAAATTATTATATAATAAAAACTCCAGGATTTTCCTCAACTTATGGTATATTCTATTTCCTTTTATTTCTATAAACACTGTATGTATAAAATGCATATTTTTTCATTTATTAACGGATAAATTAAACATAATTTTTTAAATCAAATATATGTTTGTAATTAATAGTTTAAAATTTTATTTTATATTTAATTATTTGATACAATATTTAATTAATTAAGTATAGTTTCATAAAAGATATATACTTAAAATTTCTAACTAATTCGTTATTTTTATCAAATATAAGAAAATGTCAATGATTTAAATGTTTTTTAAATTAATATTTTAATACATTATCTTTAAATAATATCATATTATTCCTATTTTACATCCTTTATTACGATAGTTATAATCCATATTATAGTAAACAATAGTTATTGTGAAATAAATACTGTAGTGATTTATCATTTATATATATTTTTGAAAACATGTTTTTTTATATAAAAACACTTCAAACAGTGTATAAAATATCTAAATAATAATGATAAGTTTTAATTGAAAATTTTTTAACAAAAAATTAAAAATATGTTAAACATATTAATAATAGTATTGTCAGTAGCACTGGTAGGTCAAACTGTGACATTTCAAACCGAGTCTAATGGCAACTATAACTACGGCGATGTAATACATTCATCATTACTGTTTTATGAGGCCCAGAGATCGGGTAAATTGCCGACCGATAACCGGATCCCATGGAGAGGTGACTCTATGCTTGACGACGGCAAGACTGTCGGTTTGGATCTGACCGGCGGTTACTTCGACGGTAAGACACAATTAAAGTTGGATATATTATGAAAAAGTAAACGTATTTTGTTATTATAATCATTGAATAGCCGGTGATTATGTGAAATTCAATTTTCCGATGGCCTATACAGTGACTGTCCTCTCTTGGGGTGCCATTGAGTTTGAGGACGCCTACATTCGGGCCGGGGAACTTGACAATGTCCGCAAAGCTATCAAATGGGGAACCGATTATTTTATTAAAGTATGTAAATCATTGTTATTTTGGAAAACATTTTATGTAAATCCATAAAATTTTTAATAATTTTTTTAGTGTCACACAAACGAGGATCAACTCTATGGACAGGTGGGTAATGGAGAAGAAGATCATGCGGTTTGGAGTCGACCTGAGGACTGGTCAAAGACCGGTAAAGTGAGACCAGCCTACAAAATAACATCAAATAAAGGAGGTTAGTATTACACGATTACTTTAATAAATAATCTTGTTCATTTAATAAAATTAATTAAAAAACAATTGATTAACTTTTTATTAAATATCTATAATTAATATCAATTTACATTCAAATGAAATATTTATCAAATTAACTTTTTATTTGTAATTACCGTATAATAGTATTTTTATTAACTTTATAATTTTTGTGACTATTTTTAGCAATTTTAATAAAGTTAGCTAATATATTATGAGCTTTTATGACTTAAAATAAATAAGACTAATTATATAATACTGTTAACTCAATGATTAAACTTTATGTACTAATAGGTAGCGACTTAGCGGGTGAAACGGCCGCCGCATTGGCCGCAGCATCGATGGTGTTCCGTAAGACTGACCCGACATATGCCGATTTAGTCCTAAAACATGCCAAAAGTTTGTACACATTTGCTGATCAACATCGCGATACATACACGAGTGAGATCACCGATGCCATCAACTTTTACAAGTCATGGTCCGGTTTTGGTGATGAGTTGGCCTGGTCTGCACTCTGGCTGCTCAGGGCTACCAATGATAGCCAATATAGAGCACAAGTGGACAAACATTTTCAAGAGTTTGCCTCTAAGTTGACTGGAAGGCCATCAGAGTTCGGTTGGGACGACAAGACGGCTGGTGTTCAGGTATTGGCCGCTCAACTGATTGGCGATGAAAAGTACAAGACTATGGTTAAGACTTTTTGCGATTGGGTCGTCAATTCTGCACCTAAAACACCAAAAGGTAGGCACGTATCACAATATCCCTTATTATTAGATATTTAGTAAAACTTAAATTTTTAGTAAAAATCTATAAAAATTAATATTTTTATCGCGGAATAGGTTTGGTATATATCAATGAATGGGGAACTCTAAGACACGCGGGTAATGTGGCATTTATTTGTTTGCAGGTAATTAAAAAAGTTTTAAAGTTTTAAAAAATGTTTTTATCACTTATTGTTTGATATATTAAATTATATTCATGTCCTATTCACATGTAATTTGAATGTTTTTTTTAAATATAAAGTTTATAAACTAATTTTAAGTTTAAGTTACAATTTCCTGAAAAAACAATATTTTTACTTTTACAGTACAAATTGTGCTGTACAATATATTGATTATAAAGTAAACAGTACTAAATTGATTTATTTTTTAAAAAATATATGTAATAATATTTAGATTAATATAATTTGAATAATATTTTAAATAGTTAGAATTTTTGTTATTCATAATTTGTTTAGCGATCGTATAAAGATCAATAAAAATATTAAATGTTTATTAATTTTTAATCAACCAAATAGGCCGCAAAATTAGGTATCAATGAACAGCCGTATCGTAAGTTTGGTGAATCGCAAATTGGCTATATTTTAGGTGATACCGGCAGAAGTTTTGTTGTAGGTTTGGGTGTAAACCCACCTACACATCCACATCATAGATCATCGTATGTATTTTAAATTAAATCACTATTTTTTATATGTAAAATATATAAATCTCATCGACATTTACAGATCATGTCCTAACCCACCGGCTGTTTGTGATTACGGCGCTGAAACAAATCCCGGACCTAATCCACACGTACTGACCGGTGCTATGGTAGGCGGACCCGATAGAAATGACGTATACGATGACAAACGTACCGATTATATGCACAATGAGGTGGCCATCGACTACAACGCCGCCTTTCAGGGATCATTGACTGCATTATTACATTTTCAATTGAAATAAACATAAATAAAATTTATATATACAGTAGAAATGTTTTAATTATAATTATTACAATATCAGTATATGACTTTACTTATTTATCACATTTTTGTTACATTTATAGATACATCGAAAATATATTAAAACAATTGTTATTTAAACAAATTGTGAAATATACTTTTGTGAGATATATTAAAACTACAAAAAATTAAGACGATTAAAATTTAAATAATTAAAATTAAATATTAAAATAATTTATAAATTTAAATTAAATTAATTACAATTATAAGAATAATAGGATATTAAATTAAGGATTATAAAAATATATTTGAAGGTCAATAAAGAAAAAATAAAATTAATTTTCAATTAATCTATAGATAAGCGAACATAAATGTATAAACAAAATCGTTGATAAAATGTCAATTTACACTATCATTATTACTATAACAAGTGTGTTAGGGACAAAATTTTTTCACTGTATAAATATAAGGACTTTAATTGCAGATTATAAATAGGTTTAATTAATCAAAAATTCAATTAATATAATGTAACTTAATTGCAATGCAATATAAAGTAAAAGTTTGAAAAAAAACTAAAATGACATCATAATAATAGTTGTATAATAGTTTTGATATTTAATAATAATATAAAGATTATATATACAGTATATTTAAATATTGCATACAATCGTTATGTGTATACAGTAAGTGTTGGCTATAATCAACCTTGAATAAATAAATAAGCATAATTGCACTTGGTGCATTAAATGTCCCAAAGTTATCATCACATGGTATTGAGTGCAATAATAATTACGGTATAAAATTTAGTAATATTTAAAGCAAATATTAATATTACGATAAACTATTTTATTGAACGAAATCATTTTGACATCACTTTTCTAGTTTTGTTTCACAAATAGATATATAAATATCGTTTTCAATTCAATCTTAAATTATTTATTTATAGTTATTTGTAATAAATATTAAATGACTAACTTTATATTTATTGCTATTTTCAATTAATTATCTTTAAATAAAAGTGAATTAAACAATATATGATTTAATAAGTGATTTTTTAAAAATATACTAAGCTTTATATATTTTTTAAAAAAATAATTTTTAATTATTGTGTATAACAATCGGATAATTAATATTATAACACAATTATGGATTTTAGTAAAATAACAGAGATTACTGATGAGGATAGATCTAAATTACATGATTTATGTAAATCATATCTATCGGACAAATGGCTGGACGTTAAAACCGATGAATTAATTATTAAACCGATTGCGTTAGTATTATTGTTTGTTATAACAAAAATAAGCAACAAACTTAAAAATTATTTAAGTATTGAAAATAATTTTTTGCGTTTTTTTTTTAAAAAAAACTAGCGCTGGATTTGTTAATAAGATATACTACTGTGCACTTCCCGACAATGTCGACCAAACAGCCAAAGTTATGGTACGATATGAAAATGAGGAGATCTCTAAAATGGCCGGAATCAACCCTGTTAGCACACTGTCCATAGCACTGGTACTATCGCTTAGTAATATATCACCCGATATTTTAGGTGCTTTTCCCGGCGGTACTATTATTCAATATATTGAAGTAATTATTAATATACTATTTATTACGTTTTTTTTTGCTAAATTAATTAATATTTTTATTTAACAAATTATTAACAAATTTATTTAATAGAGTCGCTATTGGGAAAAGAAAGATGATTTTAACGACAAATCGGTGGCACAATTGGCACAAAAGTTGGCAAAACTGCACTCAACAACCACACCGATTGCTAAACAGCCGCGCAATTTGAAGGAAATGTATGAAAAGTTTGTCACTCAAGAGTTTAAGGATGAGATCCGAAAGGGAATTATTAGCAAACAGGCCGTCGACAGCAATCTGAAGACATTTCAAGAAGTGGATGTATTGGATGAATACATCTGGTTATTGGATTTGGTGACCAAACAAAAAAGTCCTATTGTTTTCTCGCACAACGATTTTAATCGTAGAAATATTTTAGTAAAAGACACAATTGTTAACAACAATCAAGAATTAGAAATTTATTTAATTGATTTTGATTGGAGTTGTTATGGTATGAGAGGTATTGATTTGGGCCAATATTTTTGCGGTTGGGCTCAAGTGGAGACCGATTTCGGTGACGGCCCTATTCCTACTGACCAACAAATGTCAGTATTTATTGATGCATATATGGCCGAAATGTCGCAACTGGTTGGCAATGATTATCTAAAACAAGCGGTCAATTCACGGGAAAAGGTCATAAAAGAGGCCAAAATCTTCACACTATATGCTTATATGAAAGATGTTATGTATTTAGTGTTTTCAACGATTCAAAGTAAAAGCACCGATAATTTGGTAATTATTAAAAAAATATTAACTAATATTAATTTATTTATAAATATTATAAACACTTAACGATAATTGTTTTTTTATATTTTATTTTTTTAGCCAAAAGCTGAAGTGAGATTCAATATGTTTATGAATTTGAAAAAACAGATTTTAAAAGAATATAATAATATTAATTAATCAATTTATTGTGTAGTTATTTAAATAATTTTTAAACAATATTTTTAAAGATATTTATAATACCATTTTAAGAATGTGTTAAATTTAGTATTTTATTACTAAATAATTTTTTAATCATTAATAAAATTTTTACTTTATTGTAATAAACATAAAAGTTAATTTTAAAACAGTCATTATTAAAATAAAATATTGTTAAAAGTGCTTAATTAATAAATTAGTTTGTAAATTAATTAAAGTAAGTAATTTATAAAGTTAAAAACATATTCAATATATTAATTAATATATCACATAAAATAACTATATCTATAAATTATATTATATATTTATAATATATTTATATATATTGTTAAAAAACAAATTTTGATAATATTTTTCATTTAATTTTGATAAATATATTCAATTAACATTTTTTTGGATAATTTATTGCTTAATAAAAAAGTCAACCGACATATTGGCGGCAATGTGTCCGCCATCAACCAATAGTGTAGTGCCAGTTACAAACCCAGAGTGACTACTGGCCACATAGGCCACAGCATTGGCTATATCTGCCGGTTCACCGCAACGACCGACAGGATATTGTTGACATTGATTCCAAGTGGTCTCTTCTTCCTCGTCGGTCAACTGTAACATTGCATTGAAAAAGTTTGTACGAATAATACCAGGACTTGAAATATTTGAAAATAATTATAAAAAAATTAATACTTATTATTATTTAAAACTTATTTCTTAGTACTGTATAATATATGTGAATAATTATAAAACAATGTTTTTTATGAACTTTTTATAATTACTTGATAGCATTAACTCGTATGCCTTTAGGACCCAACTCATAGGCGGCACATTTGGTAAACATATTTAGACCAGCTTTTGTAATACAGTAAGGGGAAAAATTTTTGGCCTAGATCATTTAGAGGTAAATTAATTAAATTTATAATTAAATTTGTAATAACATTTAAATATATATATATATATATATATTAATAAATACAAACTGCTATATGACCGCAAATACTAGACATGTTAACGACATTGCCTTTTGTTAACTCGAGATACGGTACGCATAGGTTTGTTAGTATTACTATTGAATTGAGATTTGTTTCAATGATGGCCCGATAATTGTCTACAAATTGCGATTCACCCAATGGACTGGGAATACCATACCCAACATTGTTAACCAAAATGTCTAACTTTCCAAACGATTCAATTGTTTTGTTAACGAGTCGATGAAGATCTTCATTTTTGGTGACATCGGCCACAATATCTAATATTTTATTGCCATTGACCGCCAAATCGGAGCACTCTTTGGACACTTTTGCAACATTATCGGTATTACGACCCGTGACCACTACGTTGGCACCTGATTTGGTAAATAGTTTGGCAATTTCGGCTCCGATACCCGAACTGCTGCCAGTGATTAATACAACATTACCACTAAAGTCAAGTTGTAGTGTCATTTTTTTTAATTATCAACTTTTTATATATCAAATGCAATTTTGCAATAATATATAAATTTTAATTTTTAATATTTCAGATTTTAATTAAAATGTGTGATTTAATATACTGTATATTGTATAAATATTTATACTAAATATAGACAGTAAGTAAATCAATCAATTTGACAGTTATTCATATAAATTTATAAAAGTATTGAATATTTATAAATTATAAAACAACTTTACATTATATATAGATATATATTGTGTGATAAAAATAAGAAATTATTATATAAATAATTGATTAGAAAATTCATCTATGAACTTTTGCGCAATAATTTACATTAAAATTGTTTAATATTTTTTTTTGTTTCTAATTAAATCTATAAGTCTTTTACTAGGAATTAAGTTATTAAATACTGTATAATATAAAGGTTAACATACTGTATGTAAGCAACAAACTTTAATTTAGTCAATTAGTTAAAACAGTTAATAATTGATAATATAATTACGGTATAATATACGATATGTAATATAATAAAATATATTTCTGTATATATAAAGTTGTTTATATAAAACTAATTAATAAATTTTTTTATATTAATTTAATATTTAAATAAAAAATATTTCAATATACTTTTTTTCTTTACAAAAATTATAAAATAATAATATCTTATCTCTAATTTAATTAACATTTATAGCATAATTAAATCAATAATTATAAATATTTTGTATAAACTGAATACTAGTTTTAAAATATTAATTATTGTAATTTTAATTTTTAATATTAACTAATTTTTGGATAATTTTAGGCAAATGTAGTTTAATGTCATCAGTTTGTAAGCGCTATAATTAATAATTTATTATTATATATCAAATTTCATTTAATTATTTTTTATTAACCAAGTTTTCGATAATTTTAGGCAAATGTTGTTTACTTTTATCAGTTAGTATGCGTTTCGATATTTTTCGTAATTTATTATTCATATCATTATCATTAAGAAGTTTATGGATAGCATTTAGTAACTGTTGCTCAGAGCACTGGTAGGCATCCAATCTGACTCCAAATCCCATTTCATCGACTCTCTGTGCGTTGTCGTGTTGGTCAACAAACAATGGCATTACAATCATTGGTTTACCAAAATAGAAAGCTTCGGTAAATGTATTGTTACCGCCGTGTGTAATGACCAGATCCACAATTGGCATTACCTGTATCTGTGGCAATACCTTTTCGCCGTACATATTGTCTGGTAAATCATAATCCAGATAACCGGGTCCTTTAGAGACAATGAATCTATTGGGAGATTTGGACAAAATGCTGACCAATCTTGTCATAAGCTGGACATCTGCGCCACCCATTGTTCCCATAGAAAAGTAAATCAATTTACCCGGCTTATTTTTCAATTGCTCCGGTACTTCAAACGTCAAGTGCCGATCTTTGCGTTGAAATGTATCGAAACGGATCCAATTGGGTGGCAGTGGACGCAAATCAAGATAATCGAGTTCCAGTGGATAGGCATATATGTTGAGATATTTTGAATGATTTACATATAAATCGGAATTTAATGGTTCGACACCTCTTGAAATAAGATAATTATTGAACTTTTCCCTCAGCGGTTGTTTTGCCAAATTTGAAGTCAACCGAAAAGCCTCCCATTCTTTAAGATGTCCTTTTGCTGGTAAACCTATTTTTATTTATATTTAGTTCAACATTAATTTATATCATATTATTAAATTAAAAAAACTACAAAAATATGTATAGAATTTTAAACTAAATAAGTAATTAGTATATAAACTATACCGGATGCTTGAGGGGGTGTTCTCGGATCGTCAATATTAAAAAGTGGATTTAAACTGCATATCTGTATCCATGGTATACCTGACCGGATCACTGATGGTATTATGAGAATCTGATCGATGAATATTACATCCGGTCTAAGCTTAGGTATCAGTTCTTCCAGTTTTCTGTCCAAATATTGACCTCTTTCTATGAAAAACGGCAGTGTATTTACATAGAAATTGATGTGATTCTCCAGTGTTGTCAATCCGGGACAAATGATGCCATCCCTAACAAACCTTTCGGCAAAACTCTTAGCCGGATCTGAGTGTTGTTCAAATATTTCGGACGACATCACCACCTCATCGATACCATAGTTAACTAACTTTCCTTTCCATTGATCAGTGATAACAAATGTACATTTGTGTCCGCTTTGCATCAGTTCCTCTGCTATACCTATTGATGAGTTCATGTGTCCCACGGCATCCAATGGTGCAAATAGACAGTGTAACTGAACCGGCATTGTATTATTTAAAGCTATTAATAAAAATATTATGTTTTGACTAATAAAATTAATTGACTCTAATTACTGAGTAATTTATTTGTAAATATTAATACTTTATATGCTTAAATATTAGTATATAATGTTATATAACAGATATAAATCTATTTTATCATTTGAACATTAATTAAATAAATAAATATTTATTATTAGTTAAAATTAAACATTTAATTTATAATTTAATTTATTTTGACAATATTTGTCAATTTTCTAATATTATCTGTTAATTATCTATTTTGACCCTTCATTTAAACATATAGAAGTTTTATGTCAATCAATATACTGTATATGATATAAAAACATTGATAATAGAAAAATATAAAAAAAAAATTTAAGCCATACATCAATAATATATAATTATTGTTTTATATTAAAATCTTTTGATAATTTGAGAAAAAAAATCAATAGACTAAATGCATTTTGATAGTTAGTTTATGTAAAGTTTAATTAAAATTTATTAATTTTTATTTTATATTATTTAAAAAATTATTAGAATAATCAAATAAGTTAATTGATATTTATATAAATAATATAATATAAGTAAAAAAGTAATTTATGTAATTACGGTAAATAAAAAAAATCATAGTTTAAAATATATTTTATTTAATATTAAAATAAAATATTCACTTTAATGAGTAAATACTATTGTATTTATTATTAATTTTTATTGACCAAGTTTTCGATAATTTTAGGCAAATGTTGTTTACTATTATCAGTTTGTATGCGCTTTGATATCTCTCGTAACTTATTATTCATATCTCTATCATTTAATAGTTTATGGATAGCATTCAACAACTGCTGCTCTGAGCACTGGTAGGCATCCAATCTGACTCCAAATCCCATTTCATCGACTCTCTGTGCGTTATCGTGTTGGTCAACAAATAATGGCATTACAATCATTGGTTTACCAAAATAGAAAGCTTCTGTAAATGTATTGTTACCGCCGTGTGTAATGACCAGATCCACAATTGGCATCACTTGTATCTGTGGCAACATCTGTTCGCCGTACATATTGTCTGGTAAATCATAATCCAGATAACCGGGTCCTTTAGAGACAATGAATCTATTGGGAGATTTGGACAAAATGCTGACCAATCTTGTCATAAGCTGGACATCTGCGCCACCCATAGATCCCATAGAAAAGTAAATCAATTTACCCGGCTTATTTTTCAATTGCTCCGGTACTTCAAACGTCAAGTGCCGATCATAGCGTTGAAATGTATCAAAACGGACCCAATTGGGTGGCAGTGGACGCAAATCAAGATAATCGAGTTCCAGTGGATAGGCATATATGTTGAGATATTTTGAATGATTTACATATAAATCGGAATTCAATGGTTCAACACCTCTTGAAATAAGATAATTATTGAACTTTTCCCTCAGCGGTTGTTTTGCCAAATTTGTTATCAACCGGAATTCCTCCCATTCCTTTATATTATTACCATTAGATGGTAAACCTGTATTTACATTTTAAAAAATATTTTATTTTGTATTAAAAGAATAATGATTATGCAAATAATCAATTTTATAGATTTAATATAGTATTTATTTTTTATGTATTCAGTATAATACAGTATATTAATTATATACTGTATTTATATTTATTTTAATATAAAGTACCGGATGATTGAGGAGGTGTCCTCGGATCGTCAATATTAAAAAGTGGATTTAAACTGCAAACCTGTACCCATGGTATACCCGACCGAATTACCGACGGTATATTAAATACTTGATCCAAAATTATGATATCCGGCTTAAGCTTCGGTATCAGATCTTCTAGTCTTTCATCAAAATACTGTAATCTTTCGATGAAAAATGGTAATGTATTTACCCAAAAACTGATGTGATTTTCTACTATTGATTTTGACTGACCCAATGTCCCATCTCTTATCAATCTTTCGGCAAAAGACTTGGCCGGATCTGAGTGTTGTTCATATATTTCGGACGACAGCACCATCTCATCGATACCATACTTAACTAACTTTCCTTTCCATTGATCAGTGATAACAAATGTACATTTGTGTCTGCTTTGCATCAGTTCCTCTGCTATACCTATACATGAGTTCATGTGTCCCACGGCATCCAATGGTGCAAATAGACAGTGTAACTGAGCCGGCATTGTATTATTTAAAGCTATTAACAAAATATTTGTTTTGACTAATAAAATTAATTTTATTTAATTACTGATTATTTATTTGTAAATATTAATACTTTATATACTGTATTATAAATTATAATGTTATAAAACAGAAATAAATCCATTTTATCATTTAAACATTAATTAATTAAATAAATAGTAATCAATATATTTATTATTAGTTAAAATTAAACATTTAATTTATAATTTAATTTATTTTGACAATATTTGTTAATTTTCTAACATTATCTTCTAATTAGCTATTTTGACCCTTTATTAAAAATGTAAACGTTTTATGTCAATCAATATACCTAATTATTTTAGTTAATTTATATTTATCATATAGTTTAATTGAATTTATATATAAAGAAAAAATTAACATTTTAGTTTATAAAATAGTATATTATTATTTATTTGAAAAATTAAAATATGAAATAGAAAAATTATGATAAAACTATCTTATATTGAATATCAATAGTAGCTTAATTGGTACTGAAAATGCACTTAAAACTAAAATTGATAAAATTTTAATGATAAATACTACTTATTTATATATAAAATATTGATATATTAATAAACTTACTGATTGAATGCTTCAAAAACAAATTAATTACTGTTCAATAAAATTAAAACACGTCTTATTACAAAATATTTTTAGAAAAAAAACTAAATAATTAATTTTATTTAAGTTTTTTTATAAAAGATATATTGTTAACTTAATACAATTATGGCTAATACTGACAATAATAACAAAAGTGATATTACAGTTGAGTTAAGATCACAATTGTCTGAATTGTGTAAAACCTATTTAAAGGACGGTTGGACTACAGTTAATGAAAATTCATTAGTTATTAAGCCAATCACGTAAGTCATATAAGTCTATTGTTTTTTTCTTTATTGAAATAATTGATGTGATGATGACTTTTCATTTACATTTATTTAAAAAATTTAATTATTTTATAAATATTTTTTTCATGATTATTTGTGTAGAGCTATAAAAATGTAAATAAAAAATAAACCTTCATAAAATTTTGTTTAGCTTTCATTATATTGTAATAATTATATACTTACATATTTTTAATTTATAAAATTTTGATTTTATTTATCATAAAATTTTGATTTTTGTAAGAAAATTAAATATATAATTAATTATAATTTTTATTGTTTAATTTTATAAGAAAAGTTAAATGAAAAAATATTTAGTTATTATTATTATAACTTTAATAATAATAGAAAAAGGATTATTAGTAATTAAATAATCATTATTTTTATAACTAAAAATTTTTAATTTTGTGATGATTTAAACATCATCAGCTCCCCTACCGTTAACAATCATTCCCTACAAAGTATACTTTATAATACAAGTCAATTATGAATACATTTAATTATAAATATTTATTAAAATTAATTATGTTTAACTTATTTTATATAATGTTTACTTTATCAAATAATATATCAAATCATATAAATTGTATAAAGTCTCATTTTAACAGTTATAATATATTTTAATTAATTATTAATTGTCTAATATACTGTAATTATTAAATACATATAATTCATCGACTATTGTAATATAATTATCAATAAATCAGAGTTTGAAGTTTAAAAAAAGTTTAAAAATATAATCATTAATTACTAGTAAGTGTAAGCCTTAGGTGAAGCAGAGTTTGGATATTATTCCGGTTCTCCGGATCAGTCATTCCGATGCTCCGATAGAAGGCTCCCAAATACTACATACGATATACAGCGCAGTTACCAGTGACCAGAGCCCGAATAACCCATTCATATATGCTGTGACGAAATTAATAAGCCTATCCAATTATACCGTTACGCTTAAATAGTCTTCATATAGAAACCCGTACAGTAATTACGTCACAGTTCCTATCATACATACTCCGCATTGCTTAATGCTTCGTAGTTATCTTTACGGGCTATTTGACGGTAAACCTTAAACCCGAACCGTCACAATTTACTTTATTATATTATAATTAATGTTATTAACAAATAAGTTATAAGTTTAATAATTAGATAATAATATTACTGTATATATTAGAAATATTTTATATTGATAAGTCATAAATTAATATTTTAACTTAAGATAATGATACATAAAGCATAAATACAATTAATACAATAATGTATAGACTGTTATATATGCTAAATTTCTAAAATAAAATTTTAAAAAATAGATTAATAAACATAATATACAAACACTAATTTATAATTTTATTTTTTATAAGGTTCAATACAAATATAAAGTTCAATTATTACAAAATTATTACAACTTTTAATGCAGCGGATCAGTACATGTTATACATAGTTTAATAAAAATAAATAACTAAATTGCTATTAATTTATCGAAATAACTAACTTAGTGAACTAAAATAAGTTTTAAAATAAAAATATATATTTTATACTATTTTTTAAGTTAATAATCCTCTGGGCGCCTCATTTTGTTTAATTAATATAATTAATAAAAATTTAATTACATATAGAAAAATACAGAAACAACACCTAAAGTAGTTTAAATATACTTGTTATACGTAAACTAATAAAATATATACAAATATTTTTATAAAAACTAATAGTATGGTTATGATTAATAAACACTAACTATATAGTAAACATAATATCTATTGGTAAATTAAATAACTAAATAAAATGTTGAATATAAATCATTTAACTGAACAATAGATTTAACACCAGTTAACATTAACTCTACGGAAAATGTTGGTTTTCTTTTACCGCCGTAATCGATGATCAGTAATGGAAATCTTTGCGGGTCATAGTATGCCTTAAAACCAATGAAAGACGCAAAGTTACCCAAATTTACAGTACATTTGAGTGAAAATGTGGTAACAATGTTAGTGACAGTCACTTTGTTGAGTTGGACATCATAGCCGAGTTTTTGAATCAGTCGAGCAAATCTTCTAATGGCAACTCTTCCGCTGGCAATCGAGTTAGTACCGACGCATATGAGTTTATCCGATTGATACATCATTATGGTTGACTTAGGTTTTCTCAAGCGTACAATAAGGCGGACAAATTTATTATTATCAAAAACAAAAACAGATTATTAAGACAATTAGTTATTTTAGATAAATTCAAAACTTTATTGGTTATAAACAAATTAGCCGTTAGGGATACATTTGTAATATTTAAATCATTTAACAACATTTTCATAGGCTATTATTTTGAACTACTAAGATGTAGACTAGTTGACCGTTTGATAGACATAGGACGAGTGCCACACGTCATGCCTAATGTTTTCTGCAATATTATTAGAAACCGGTTTTCCAGTCCAAGACCACACTTCATCAAAATAACTCTTTACTTGAAGACCAGGTGACGTTAGCAGAACCTGACGTTGTCCATTTTAGTTAGTATCATTGCAGCTATTTTAAGTTGTTTTTGATAAAGTATAGTTAATTTTAGATACGGGTCTCTTGAGATGTATAGTTCAGTGCTTTTCTCAATGCGATTGCCATAATTTCGGTGTATTAATATAGCCACAAGCCATTGATATTGATCTAAATTAAAACAAACGCTGACTAATGCCCTATAATTGGGACAATGTTGGGTTATTTTAATTAATTGATTATTTTTAACCAATTTAATAACTTTAGCGTAACCATCACATCCGGGAATTATTTTAGTAGAAATATTAGAAAATATTACGATTACATTAATTAGTCTTTTATAGGAACTAAAAAGGAATATAAACGTATATAAGTACGACTATATAAAAGGTTAAAAACATACAGTATATGAAATACATTAATTTTAGTGGAAAGCAATCATTATGTCTTCAGAAACTGTTGCGAAAAAGACGACTAATTATTAGCACATTTACACTCATATCATAGGAAATGAAAAGTCTAAAAAAGTTTGAATTCGTTTAAACAAAACAGACCATCAATTGCGAGTCAATATACGACTGGCTGTAACTAATGAAGTCTATAACTCATTTAAGTACTCTAAGCGCGGCGTAAACTTAACTGTAGCCGAGTTTCATCAACTAATGGATAGTTTGAAATCATTGAAGACTTTGGTGATATCGATAGGACAATAAAATACAAAAAATATGACAATGTTTTTTACAACAGTAATGTTGTAAAAAGTTATTTAACTTATGCTAGTATTAGTTTGACCTCATTTGAGGTCAAAAATATTATAATTCTTAATAATGATATATTTAAAATGTATACTAAGAAATACTAAGAGATTAAATTTACGTTATTCATATAAATTTATAAAAGTATTGTATATTTATAAATTATAAAACAACTTTACATTATATATATACAGTATATTGTGTGATAAAAATAAGAAATTATTATATAAATAATTGATTAGAAAATTCATCTATGAACTTTTGCGCAATAATTTACATTAAAATTGTTTAATAATTTTTTTTATGTTTCTAATTAAATCCATAAGTCATTTACTAGGAATTAAGTTATTAAATACTGTATAATATAAAGGTTAACATACTGTATGTAAGCAACAAACTTTAATTTAGTCAATTAGTTAAAACAGTTAATAATTGATAATATAATTACTGTATAATAATAAATAATGTAATATAATAAAATATATTTCTGTATATATAAAGTTGTTTATATAAAACTAATTAATAATTTTTTTATATTAATTTAATATTTAAATAAAAAATATTTAAATATACTTTTTTTCTTTACAAAAATTATAAAATAATAATATCTTATCTCTAATTTAATTAACATTTATAGCATAATTAAATCAATAATTATAAATATTTTGTATAAACTGAATACTAGTTTAAAAATATTAATTATTGTAATTTTTATTTTTAATATTAACTAATTTTTGGATAATTTTAGGCAAATGTTGTTTAATGTCATCAGTTTGTAAGCGCTATGATATCTCTCTCATAGCTTTATCATTAAAAAGTTTTAAAATAATAATAATTTATTATTATATATCAAATTTTATTTAATTATTTTTTATTAACCAAGTTTTCGATAATTTTAGGCAAATGTTGTTTACTATTATCAGTTTGTATGCGTTTCGATATTTTTCGTAATTTATTATTCATATCATTATCATTAAGAAGTTTATGGATAGCATTTAGTAACTGTTGCTCTGAGCACTGGTAGGCATCCAATCTGACTCCAAATCCCATTTCATCGACTCTCTGTGCGTTGTCGTGTTGGTCAACAAACAATGGCATTACAATCATTGGTTTACCAAAATAGAAAGCTTCGGTAAATGTATTGTTACCGCCGTGTGTAATGACCAGATCCACAATTGGCATTACCTGTATCTGTGGCAATACCTTTTCGCCGTACATATTGTCTGGTAAATCATAATCCAGATAACCGGGTCCTTTAGAGACAATGAATCTATTGGGAGATTTGGACAAAATGCTGACCAATCTTGTCATAAGCTGGACATCTGCGCCACCCATAGATCCCATAGAAAAGTAAATCAATTTACCCGGCTTATTTTTCAATTGCTCCGGTACTTCAAACGTCAAGTGCCGATCATAGCGTTGAAATGTATCAAAACGGACCCAATTGGGTGGCAGTGGACGCAAATCAAGATAATCGAGTTCCAGTGGATAGGCATATATGTTGAGATATTTTGAATGATTTACATATAAATCGGAATTCAATGGTTCAACACCTCTTGAAATAAGATAATTATTGAACTTTTCCCTCAGCGGTTGTTTTGCCAAATTTGTTATCAACCGGAATTCCTCCCATTCCTTTATATTATTACTATTAGATGGTAAACCTGTTTTTATATTTAAAAAAAACATTTTGTATTAAAAGAATAATGATTATGCAAATATTATTTATTAATATAGTTTTTATTTTTTATGTATTTAGTACAATACAGTATATTAATTATATACTGTATTTATATTTATTTTAATATAAAGTACCGGATGATTGAGGAGGTGTCCTCGGATCGTCAATAATAAAAAGTGGATTTAAACTGCAAACCTGTACCCATGGTATACCCGACCGAATTACCGACGGTACATTAAATACTTGATCTAAAACTATAATATCCGGCTTAAGCTTCGGTATCAGATCTTCTAGTCTTTYATCAAAATACTGTAATCTTTCGATGAAAAATGGTAATGTATTTACCCAAAAACTGATGTGATTTTCTACTATTGATTTTGACTGACCCAATGTCCCATCTCTTATAAATCTTTCGGCAAAAGACTTGGCCGGATCTGAGTGTTGTTCATATATTTCGGACGACAGCACCACCTCATCGATACCATACTTAACTAACTTTCCTTTCCATTGATCAGTGATAACAAATGTACATTTGTGTCCGCTTTGCATCAGTTCCTCTGCTATACCTATTGATGAATTCATGTGTCCCACGGCATCCAATGGTGCAAATAGACAGTGTAACTGAGCCGGCATTGTATTATTTAAAGCTATTAACAAAAATATTATGTTTTGACTAATAAAATTAATTTTATTTAATTACTGATCATTTATTTGTAAGTATTAATACTTTATATACTGTATTATAAATTATAATGTTATAAAACAGAAATAAATCCATTTTATTATTTAAACATTAATTAATTAGTTAAATAATAATCAATATATTTATTATTAGTTAAAATTAAACATTTAATTTATAATTGAATTTATCTTGACAATATTTGTCAATTTTTATAACATTATCTAATAATTTGCTATTTTGACCCTTTATTAAAAAATGTAAAAGTTTTATGTCAATCAATATACCTAATTATTTTAGTTAATTTATATTTATCATATAGTTTAATTGAATTTATATATAAATATAAATTTAACATTTTAGTTTATAAGATTTTATGATTTATATGAAAAATTAAAATATGAAATAGAAAAATTATGATAAAACTATCTTATATTGATTATCAATAATAGCTTAATTGGTACTGAAAATGCACTTAAAACTAAAATTGATAAAATTTTAATGATAAATACTACTTATTTATATATAAAATATTGATATATTAATAAACTTACTGATTGAATGCTTCAAAAACAAATTAATTACTGTTCAATAAAATTAAAACACGTCTTATTACAAAATATTTTTAGAAAAAAACTAAATAATTAATTTTATTTAAGTTTTTTTATAAAAGATATATTGTTAACTTAATACAATTATGGCTAATACTGACAATAATAACAAAAGTGATATTACAGTTGAGTTAAGATCACAATTGTCTGAATTGTGTAAAACCTATTTAAAGGACGGTTGGACTACAGTTAATGAAAATTCATTAGTTATTAAGCCAATCACGTAAGTCATATAAGTCTATTGTTTTTTTCTTTATTGAAATAATTGATGTGATGATGACTTTTCATTTACATTTATTTAAAAAATTTAATTATTTTATAAATATTTTTTTCATGATTATTTGTGTAGAGCTATAAAAATGTAAATAAAAAATAAACCTTCATAAAATTTTGTTTAGCTTTCATTATATTGTAATAATTATATACTTATATATTTTTAATTTATAAAATTTTGATTTTATTTATCATAAAATTTTGATTTTTGTAAGAAAATTAAATATATAATTAATTATAATTTTTATTGTTTAATTTTATAAGAAAAGCTTAAATGAAAAAATATTTAGTTATTATTATTATAACTTTAATAATAATAGAAAAAGGATTATTAGTAATTAAATAATCATTATTTTTATGACTAAAAATTTATTATTTACTTTATTATATTATAATTAATGTTATTAACAAATAAGTTATAAGTTTAATAATTAGATAATAATATTACTGTATATATTAGAAATATTTTATATTGATAAGTCATAAATTAATATTTTAACTTAAGATAATGATACATAAAGCATAAATACAATTAATACAATAATGTATAGACTGTTATATATGCTAAATTTCTAAAATAAAATTTTAAAAAATAGATTAATAAACATAATATACAAACACTAATTTAAAATAAAATTTTTAAGTGATAAACACTATGCATTAAAAGCATTTTCATTAATCATTTATATTAATTTAGTAAATAATAAGAAATTAGTTGTTTTTAATGCTTTACTATATATCAAATCTTATTGTATTTTTATTGTTGGGCACAGGGAGACATGATTAAGCAAAAGTCATAAATCCTCAATTTTAATTAACATTAGTTTAGTTTATAGTTAATAATAATAATTTTTTTAAGATTTTACATAATTACAAAATTAATTAGATTTGCAAAATAAATAAAAGAAAATATTTTTTTAAATATTCTACAACAAAAATATACTATAAAATTTAAAAATTAATTATAAAATAATTGAATATAATCACACCTAAAATTTTACAATAATTATTTCAATTATAATATAATTAAATTTATATATTTATTTAGTGATGGTTTCATAAACAAACTATACTTATGCTGTTTGCCGGACACATGTCGTGAGCCGGGAGTTCGTAAAGTTATCGTACGTTTTGAAGATTACGAAGAATTCAAAGATATGGGTCGTTCACAGATCAATGCCATTACTATAAACATAATATTAGCCGCAAATAATATATCGCCCAAAGTGTTGGGTGTATTTCCCAGCGGTACTATTATTGAGTACATTGAGGTACTGTACAGCTAATCATATATTTGATGATATGAAATGTTAGACACAAATTGTTTTAGAGATACAGTTACTTATGATTTTAATTTTCTGTTTGTTTTGTTAGAACCGTTATCTATCGCAAAGCGATTATACAAATACCAATATTATTGAACTGTTAGCCCAAAAGTTGGCTAAAATACATTCACTGAATATACCGATAGCTAAAGACAGTAAAACATTTACAAATGTTTTTCGCAGTTTTTTAGACGCCGATGAAAACATGAAACAATCGCTCAAAGATGGATACATCAGACAAGTAATAAATGATTTAAAACTCAATGTATTTCAAGAGATGGACTTTACCGATGAGTTTCATTGGCTTCTGGATGTTATCGATCATCTCCAGAGTCCAGTTGTCTTCGCTCACAATGACTTTAATAGAAGAAATACATTGATATGCGAGTCAAAGGATAATAATAACAATGATTTGAATGTCTATCTCATTGACTTTGATTGGAGCTCTTACGGCAAACGGGGTGTTGATTTTGGTCAGTATTTTAACTGTTGGGGACAGGAAGCCACCGATTTCGGCACCGGACCGTTTCCCAGTGACCAACAAATGCTGCCATTTATTGACGCATATATCGTGGAAATGTCGAAATTGGTTGGCGATGACTACCCGAAACTAACCGTCAATTCACGGGAACGACTGCTAAAAGAGGCCAAAGTTTGTACATTAATGGCACAAATAAAAGATATTTTATACTGTATTTGGGACTCTAATCGCAATAAGACAACTGAGTTAATGGTAAATATTTTTTTTTTATAATTATTATGTACTCAGACTATCATATTAACAATATTTTAATATTATTTATGAAATTATTAGGTAAAAGGCAACACTAAACTTGGAGATTATCTTAAATTAAAGGCCAAATTATTAACAGAATTTAGTAATGATTTAAAATAGTCACAAAAAAATAGTTACAATTAAATAATTTACATTTTGTTCAACAATTTTCATAAAGAATAAGCCAAAAAAATAATAGCATAATTATTCAAATTATATTAAATAATTAGATATTTTATAATATTTATTATAATAAACTTTATATAGCAAACACTGATTTGTAAAAACATTTACAAACTTAAATATATAATCTGTAACCAAGTAAATATTATTTCAAATAAAAATTAATAAATTTAAATGTATTAAAAAATATTAAATACTGTAAATTATTATACAAATGTAAGATAATTAAAATACAATTATTGTATTATTATTGTTACTATTATTGTATTTTTACTAATCAACGCCAGGTTTTTAGATAACAGTCACATAACTTTTGTTATAAAAACAAAGTAAGGGACTTTAATTGAAATTAAAATAAATGTCATAATTTTAAATATATTTTATTTTAGTATATCCTAAAATAAAATATTCACTTTTAGTAAATACTATTGTATTTATTATTAATTTTTATTAATCAAGTTTTCAATAATTTTAGGCAAATGTTGTTTACTATTATCAGTTTGTATGCGATTTGATATTTGTTGAATTTGTATCTAATGGTGCAAATAGACAGTGTAACTGAGCCGGCATTGTATTATTTAAAGCTATTAACAAAATATTATTTTTTTTACTATTCAATAAATTTATTTTAATTACTCTTTATTTTAATTTTTTTTTAATATTATTATTATAAAAAATATTTAAATTTATTTTATAATTACTATAGTAGGTGATTAAATTATTAATCTAAATGTTTATTATTTAATTAATTATATATTTTACGTTTTTATTAAACAAATAAAAAATATTGTTAACTTAATAAAATTATGGCTTATACTATCATAACATTATGTAAATTCAATAGTTATTATCACATATGACTTGAAGTTTATTGTTTATTAGATGACATTAATTTTCATTTATATTTAATTAAGAATTTCAATTATTTTATAAATTATTAAGTTTTTTGTCTATTTGTATAAAATGATAAAAATGTATATAAATAATTACTTTTCATAAAATATTGCTTAACTTTTATTATATTGTAAAATTTACATATTATATATTTTTATTTATCAAAATATTTTATAAATAAAATAAAATATAAAATGAGTTGCAGTTTTTATAGTTAACTTATTAAGAAAACTTATAAAATGATAAAATATTTAGTTATTATTATTATTATAACTTTACAGTAATAATAATAATAGCAAAAGTATTATTAGTAATTTGATAATAATTATTCTCATTACTAATTATTAATTATTAACTCAATTTATACATATTATTAATTTATTAACAAATAAGATATCTGTTTATTAATCAGATAACAATATTATATATATATATATATATATATATATATATATATATATATATATATTTAAAACTCTTAATTTAAATGAGATTAACAAAAGATAAGCAAAAGATATTTTGTACTATATTTGGGACTCTAATAACAATGAGACAAATGATTTAATGAAAATTATTTTGTTAACATGGACAATTTTATTTATTTTATTATATGTTAATTTATGATATTGAAGGGATAAAAAATTAAAATTAAAGTTAAAAACATTTATTTCATAACTATGGGACAAGTGATCACATTATTACAGACAACCAGGGTCTTAAAAATGGCAGGCATAAACAATAGATGCCAATTTTGCCAAATGCCTGCCCTGTCTCTGCCATTCCCTAGGCATTTATTTTCAGGTGGTGACACCTATTATTTTAATTATATATTATTAATTAATTTATAAAACATTGTTTTTATAATATATTTGCTTGTATTTTTGTTTTGTATACCTTTAATCAAAAACTAATATCATTGGAAATAAGTAAATTAATTGTAAATTTAATTAACACGTTAAAACACTAAATTACATCATTATTTTTATAAATACAGTTGCTTTTTAGCAATTTAAATTGGCAGGCAAATAAAATAGATGCCCAAAATGCCAGGCATTTATGACATCTATTTGGGCACTGCCAGGGCAGGCATTTATTTTCTTAAAACCCTGCAGACAACACAATATATAATATTTATAACAAAGTTACAGTTTATATATGAGTGTAAAAACTATTAGATATTTCTAGAAATGTAATTAATATAAAAATACATATTATATGAAATCATTTACAGGAAATCATTAATAATTAATATTAGATATCTATAAACAATATAAATATATTTTAAAATTCATATTAAAAATATTGAATTTTGATAAACATTTCAATAATTAATTTTATGTAGAAATATGTTTCTACAATATTATAACTTAATTGAAAAATATACTGTATTTATTGTAAAATAGTATATACTGTATTTTGATATTATAACTTTGAACAATAAAGTTTGAATAAAATCCTAACTATTTAAACAAAAATATTAATAATAATAATAATAATAATAATATATAAAGAATTATAAATAAATTATAAATTAAATTTTAAAATGTTTAACAATATTTATTTCAAATTCTATTCATGTATTGTAAAACTATTATACTATTTGATTATATAAAGTGTTATAAACAATAATAATAATAATTTATTTTTAGCATTAAGCAATGAGATACATAACAAGTTGTATTCATAAATAATAATTATACATTGAAAATTTCATATAAATAATTTACAAATTTTTTATAATTAGATTCGTTTCTAATATACATTGGTAATGAATTAAATAAATTTATACAATAATTAAAAAAATGTTTATCAATTAACACAATACGTTTAAAATTTGTTTTAATTTTTATACCATTACGTGATGTGTTATAAAAGTTTAATATATTAAACCAATTGTTAGGTACAGTGTTGGACATAGATTTGATTTGAAAAACATGTTTTAATATTTTAATTTTATTTCGATTATCTAATGTGTTTAAACCTAATATTTTTAATCTATTTTCATAATCTATATTAACATAACCTAATTTATAACATATATATCTAGTAATCTTTCGTTGTATTGACTCAATTAAATTTAATTGTGTTTTAGTTGGAGTCCAACACATAGTTGAATACTCAATGATCGGAAGTATATATGTTTTATACAAATTTAAAAATGTTTTTCCGTTTACTTTTTTACAAATATATTTCAATGTATAAAATTTAGAAAAAGCTTTTTTATGTAAATCATTACAATGAGAGCTAAAAGTCATTTTATTATCATAGGTAACCCCTAAATGTTTGTGTGTTATAACAGTATCGATAGATATATTATTCATATAATATGTATTTAATTTACAGTTTTTTAATGTAATTCTCAAGTGTTTTGTTTTATTTACATTTAATTTCAAATGTTTATCATTACAATAATTTTCAAAAATATTCAAATCATTTTGTAATAAATTAATGTCATTTGTATTTTTAATAATCTTAACAAATACCGTATCATCAGCCCATTGAAATACAAAACAATAATTGTTGAGATATTTATATGATTTGCCATTAATTTTCTGTTTGTTTGTTTGTATCGCAAAACAATTTTACAAATGCCGAGATTATTACAGGACATAAAAGAGTCTCTCAAAAAATTGATATATTAATATCAGACAAATAATAAATGTTTTAAAACTCATTGTATTTCAAGAGATGGACTCCACCGATGAGTTTCATTGGCTTCTGGATGTTATCGATCATCTCCAGAGTCCAGTTGTCTTCGCTCACAATGACTTTAATAGAAGAAATACATTGATATGCGAGTCAAAGGATAATAATAACAATGATTTGAATGTCTATCTCATTGACTTTGATTGGAGCTCTTACGGCAAACGGGGTGTTGATTTTGGTCAGTATTTTAACTGTTGGGGACAGGAAGCCACCGATTTCGGCACCGGACCGTTTCCCAGTGACCAACAAATGCTGCCATTTATTGACGTATATATCGTGGAAATGTCGAAATTGGTTGGCGATGACTACCCGAAACTAGCCGTCAATTCACGGGAACGACTGCTAAAAGAGGCCAAAGTTTGTACATTAATGGCACAAATAAAAGATATTTTATACTGTATTTTGGACTCTAATAACAATTATACAAATGATTTACTAAAAAATAATTTTTTAATAATTATTAATTAACTATTTTAAAGTATTATAGTAATTATCTTTTAATATATCTGTATATAATTATTAGATAGAAGGCAACGCAAAATTTATCTTAAATTAAAAATCAAATTATTATCTGAATTTAATAATGATTTTACTTTTCATAATGTTTAAACCAAATAATATAAATATTAAAATTGTTATACAAATATTTACTTTATACTATTATATATTTAAATATTAAATATAACAAATATTTTTTTATTGAAATTTTTATTTTATATAAAATTTATACTAAAACTAAATGAATAAATAATATTTTGTTTTTTTACATTTATTACATTAAATAATAAGATAATTATTTGTATAATATTTATTATAATAAACTTTACAAAAAAATTTGATGAAACAATTACAAACTTATCTAATCAGTAACCAAATAAATGTCATTTTAAAACCTAAGCTAATAAATATACATTATGTACACAATTCTTAAACAACATTAATATACAATTTTGTAAAAAGATATTAAAAAGTGTATATTATAAAATATTATCACGTGATCATAATTCTATAAACCACTATGTCATAAAATTTCAATAGTAAGTTTGTAATGCCTAATGAAAAGAAAAAATTTTTAAAATTGGTCGAAGAATAAATTTTTTATTTTTCAAACTGTGAAACACATTATATAAAATTGTGGAAAATAAAATGACGTTATTTATGGACAGTAGACACTTATTAGATAGAGATATTAATACTATTGCTTATTCTGAAAAATTAAAATTTTTTTATGTTAAATATTTTTTAGAAATAAAAAACACAACATTATATTTCGATAATGCAATTTTTAATTAAATTTGATTATCTAAAAAAATAATACAAAAAAAATATAAATAGTATTAATAATCTAATAAGTGTCTACTGTCCATAAATAACGTCATTTTATGACTATTTTATATAATGTGTTTTTCAAAATAAAAAATTTATTCTGCAACCAATTTTAAAATTTTTTCTTCCTATAAATTTCCAGTGGCATTACAAACTATATTCTAGCAGAAACAATTACAAACTTATCTAATCAGTAACCAAATAAATGTCATTTTAAAACCTAAGCTAATAAATAAAAGGGCCTTATGATTAATCTCGCACACGCGGTTTTATTCCTGCTATAATTCTTAAACGGTTATGTGTCTTTATTTTATATTAATTTTTAAAATTATTAAAAAGTGATTTACGCGTGATATTATAAAATATTAAATTTTTAATTTTGATCACGTGATCATATTTATTTTTTGGATTTTGCAAACCACTATGTCATAATTTAAACTATAAATGCTAAAATAAAATTTCAATTAACTTTGTAATGCCAATAAACTGGAAATTTATAGGAAGATTAAGTTTTAAATAAAAGTTAAAAATTTTTTTTTAAATTGGTCGAAGAATAATTCATTTTTTATAACATTGTTTTAGATTATTTGTGGATAAAACAGTAATAAAATACTTAAAATAAATGACGTTTTTTATGGACAGTAGAATTATTAGAAATATATTTTAATTTTATTTATAACTTATTCTTGAAAAAATAAATTTTTTGTATGTATAAATATTTTTTTAGAAATTAATTAATAAAAAACAAACATTATATTTCGATAATAATTTTTAATTAAATTTGATTATCTAAAAAAATATTTGAATAATAAAATAATTTATTTTAAAAATATTTATTAGTTTAATAATTATTATATAAATTAACATTCAATGTACTAATCTATAAATGATTTGATAAAATTTAGTGATGTTTTAATAAAAAATAACTGAAATAAACTTTTATCACAATATTATTTTAAAATGTGTTACTTAATGATTAAAAAAATGGTTGATATAGTTGAGATAAAAAATTATTTTTTATTCACCATATAACATTTATAGCAAAATATCATTTGATTTTAATTATAAAAAAATGTCTAGTGTATTTAAAATAAATAATTTAAGGTTATGTCAAAAATGACATAATTTCATTTTTATATAAAAAAGCTAAGAAATACTTTAAAAATAAAAATGATAATTTCTATATACATTGCGTAATAATTATTGAAGATAATGGTGAAAATTTTATTATTTAATTGTCTTTAGTTTTTAAGAAAATTAACTTAGAAAATTCATTAAAACCATGACAGCTATTGTTGTGATTACCTTATAAAATACAATTTTATTGTAAAAATTGTTATTATTTTAATGATTATATTTGTTGAGACATTACTAATCAACACCAGGTTTTTTTATAYGACAKTCATATAAAATAAAAGTGATAAAATTATATACAATGTTAATATAATATTATTGAATTAAATTTATTATTTTARTAATTTGAGTGGATTTTGTAAAATATTAATATTTTATATATTATTGCTGAGTATTAAAATTTATTTTGTGTTTATTTTGTAAATTTTGAAACATATTGGAGTCAATTATGTCAAAAAAGTTAATTATTGATGATTACTTTAGCAAAGTTTATCAACTATTAAAAATACATTTAGATGGCCAGTGGACACAAATTACCAAAAATGATGTCATTATACAACCAATTAAGTATATATTTATATTTATAATATTATTTATTTATTGTATTAATTAAATATTATATTATTATTTGTAATTTATTATATATAAATTTTTATAATAATTATTAAAAATTATAATACTGTAAACTGTATATTTAATTATCATATACTGTATATAGCGATGGCTTCACAAATAGTTTATATGTTTGTGAGTTGTTATTACCAGAATTAGAGGACAAGACATATCGTAAAGTAATTGTTCGATATGTAGACTACGAGTCCGTAGAGCACCTGTATGTCAAAGAACATGTATTGGCTATAAATCTCATATTATCTCAACTAGAAATAGCACCAAAATTATTATGTGTTTTCAAAAACGGTACAATCAGTGAATATATTGAAGTAAGTTTTAAATCATTTATCCTATTAAATAAATATTTGTCTATTTTTTAGTTATAAATCTTATTAAAAGTTATATTTTTTATTGCCTTATACTATCTGAGCAAATGATAGCCTTTAATGTATTGTTTTATTGTATCTTATTATATACAGAATCGCTATTTCAATGCCAGTGATTACCATAACAAGACTTTGGTGTCATTATTAGCCCGAAAGTTGGCACGACTTCACTCGTTGTGTATACCGGTGCCCAAAGACGGAACTTCTAAGTCAAGAGAAAACATATTTGTCAAATGGTTTGACACAGAAATGCGACACAATATTAGTTGCGACGGATTTATTGGCAAATATTTACACGAAAACAGTAATAGATATCCAATATTTTCGACACTTAGTCTCGCAGAGGAAACTGATTGGTATCTTAAGACAGTGGATGCGCTCAACTGTCCCATTGTTTTTTCGCACAATGATCTCAATCGACGAAATATATTGATTAGTGAATCAAATAATAATAATAATAATAATAACGAAAATTTTGAAGACATAGAGATCTATTTGATAGACTTTGATTGGTGTGTCTATGACTATAGGGGTACAGATTTTGGACAGTATTTTAGTCGCTGGGCTCAAGAGGAGACCGATTTTGGTGTCGGTGTATTCCCGACTAATGAACAAATGATACCATTTATTGACTCCTATATCGGCCAAATGTCGCAACTGGTTGGCGACAAATATCAGAAACAAGCGATCAATTCACGGGAACAGCTCATTAAGGAGTCAAAAGTTTTCACATTAATGGCGTTTATTAAAGATATTTTATACTGTATTTGGGTCACCAATGAAGATAATATAAAGCAAATGATGGTAATTGAATAGTTTTATGACAATTATAATTTAATTAAATTATATCATATTAATAAGTATTTCTATATTTTATTTGAGTACTGATTTTATTTTTTTATTATAAAAATTTTATTTTATTCAGGATAAGGCAGAGATAAAATTTCGTGCATTTTATGAACTCAAAAATAGCATAATAAATGAGTATAAAGTTTATTAAACAATTTTTAAAATTAATTTCTTACTTAATAATTACAATAAATTATTTTAAATAAAATATTTTATAATAAATATATTTAATAATAAGTGATGAATAAAAAGAAAATTACTATTAAAATATAGTATTTTTATTATATTGATTTATATGTATAAACTATTTTATTATTAATTTTGTTTCAATATTATAAAATAAATTAAATTTCATTATAAATTTGAAATATTATTACATTTTTAGAGTTTTTTAAATATAAACTTTTGTTGTACACAATAAACTAAAATTACAACAAAATAATTATCATCAATTTTTCAATATTTTTTTCTTGTTTATTAGTTATTTAATTATAATAAAAACTTATTTTGTTTATTATTTAAATAATATACTTTTGTTTGAATTAAAGTATTATTATATAATGTATGAGTGAAAACTAATCAAATAATAACATTTTCTAAGCCATTAAAAGTTTTTATATATAACTTTATTATATATTAGTAATAATATTGACAGTAAGTTTTATTGAATAATTTTAAGTATAATAAAATGTTTATATTAATAATTTTAGTTATATAATAATTTTAATTTAATAATTTTACAATATTTTTATATTTACATTCTATTATAAATAAAACAATAGTACGAAACGGTTATAAATATAAATTATTATTTTACTATATAAATTATATAATAAAGCAATAAAATAAAATAACTAAATAAATAAATCTAATCATAAAATAAAATAACATTTAAGATTAAAAAACAAACTATTTTAATTATCTATGCAATGCATAGATAATTAATATAATTAAAACATATTTTTATAAATTTATTAATAATTAAGTTACTTTTAATTAGTTACTTATTGATGAATTAATTAAACTCATCCGGATATTTTCCAGGCATATCATTGATCAATTGACTGTCACTGATGTCATTATTGACACGACTTCCCTTTTGACGGATCTTTTGTTGTGAACAACCGATATGTTTGGCCTTTTTGTTGACATTCATAGTATTTTTGTATACTTTTGCCGCTTCTTTAGTAACTTTTTCAATTTTTTCCCAATTGTTAATCTTGTTTTGGCGATTCATTATTAAAAAAATATTTATACTGTATTATAGACTTTTTAAACAAACTATTAATTAAAGTAAATTTATTAATTAAATAACTTATATAAATTATAACTTTAACTATTCATAAAAATGTTTGACTAAAATTACATTTCCAACTTTAACTTATATACCATGTTTGCAATGACTGTTTATATGATATAATATAAACATTTTTTATATTTAATGAAATTTATAAATCGCTAATATTTCGATTCAATTATTCAATGATTTAAAGATTTGATTTATTAGTTATTTTGAATTAATAATAATGCAATAATGCAAAAATAGTGTATCATTAAATTATGATTGGTTAAATTAATATTAAGCTTTGAGATTGGTTCATATAAAATATAAATTGATTCATTGTTTAGTATGAAATTAAAACATCAATAACTATGATATCTTATCTAAACCATAGTGTAAATAATATTTATAATTGATTACTCATACTTTAATAATTTAAGTTTAAATATATTTATTTGTCAATTAATGTTTTTACTTATAATATTAAATATCAATTATAACATTATTAAAATATATTGCAATAAATTAGTATACTAATTGTAATATTGAAATAACATTATATATTATATTGTTGTAAATATTGTTGTAACCATTTGTCATAGATATTATTTATTATCCTAACAAATATATATTATTATAAAATATCAATTAATTGTATAATTATTATACTAATAGATTCATATAATATTGATAATAGATGAACAATATAAATAAATAATAGTTATTTTCCAGTATAAATCAGGAAATTTATTATTATATTTTTTTATATAATTTACATAACTTTATATTAAATTGTATATCAATAGTGTTGTTATTTTATTAGACTACTGTTATATAAAAAAAACATAAACTAGTTTTATTATCTAATATAAAAAATTAATAAAAATAATATAAAATTGTATTCAATGACCTTTAGAAATACGACAAAAAACTATTTAAAAAAATGTTATTTTAGATATTTTAAAATTATTTTACTAAAAAGACATTTCCTTTAATTTAGACATTGCATTAATTTATATATATATATAAATTTACTTATTTTTTGCAAACTTTACTCCGTTAGTGAAAAATTTTAAGGACATTTTAATCGAGGCGTTAAGTTGTCTAACAAATAAGTAATATTTTATTAAACAAATAAATTGCTAATTTTTTTATTTACTTTTGTATTGTATAGGTGTAAACATTATTAAGGTCTAATAATATTATTTTCTATTAAATACAAATGTATTTTAAAAATTATCAAGTTGAATTTTTAGTGATACTATGTTATCTACATGTTTGCTTTTGTCTATTGCCACCTGGGATGTTACGTTTGCTTACACCTACCAGAGGACAGGCAGGCTATGGCTATACGGATACTAATCCATTTAGAAATCTTGAAAACAGAGGTAATATATTATTAATTATAACTTTTTATATTTTAATAATATTTTCTACATAACATAATATAATTATGTACAGGTTATTTGCAAAATTATTATGGTGATACCACTGATAAAAATGCACCATATGATAATCCATTGGGCCCGAGTCCAAATGGCGCACCGGTATGGCCCCGAACAGCTGATGGACGTAAACCTATTGTTGGCAATGATTATAATGTTGGACCAGTAGTCAATGATGTTGGTTTAGATTTTAATTTTTAATATATGATTGTGGAAAATAAATATTATCAAATATCATATACTGTATATTTATATAATTTAATAAATAAATAATATTTTCAATAACTTGTATAAATTAATTTAATAATAAAATTGTGAAAATATAAAAATAATAAATAAATTTTTTTATACAGTGTGTAACATTTTCATATACATGTATATATAAATTATTAAATGATATTTTAATTTAACTGAAATTAACAAATGTTTATATTTAACAAAAAAATGAGTCAATCACTCAATTATTTTCAATTCCTGCGTTTACTGGTGGAAGAACTGGTAGCTCCGAGCCATGGATACTCATCTGGACAGGGCTGACATGTCTTGAAAAATCGAGAACCCTTTTTGAAGGATACGTTGCACACCGTCGGGTTGAGACATGGAGTCGGTGGAGGGCTATCCTCATTGGGCTGACACATCCAGGGCTTAAAATTTCGTATACGAGACAGTGGTGTCGGATCTTTCATCCACTGTATGAGCTGCCAATTGGTCACAAAATAGACATCCTCAAGTTTGCGTACTTCGTCTATAAATTTCAAAAAACCCGACAAATGGTGTCGGGTGTTAAACCAGGCCGAGTGATAGAATAGGCCGAATGGCGACCGATTGGACCGATAGTGGCGATCAAAGTTTTTCATAATCATGTCGTAAACACCCGACTCATCCATCGGATTACTACAGGCGTCACCCATTGAACACCGGCCACCCTTCAAGTCCTGCCACATGACTAAACCGATTTCCCAAAGACCTTATTGTTTTAATTAATAAAAATTATTTAAATTTATACATTATATCAATATAATGTTGATTATTCTAATAAATTATTACTATTTATTTAATAAACATATTTACTTAAAAAACAAACAAACAAAATACTTATATATAATAAAGTTTGATATAAATTATTAATGTTAATTGTCTGTAAATTAACTATTTTAGGTATTTTTCAAAAAAGACATATACCTGGAAATGACTTTGTGGGACAGGGAGTTATCATACATTCGTGTCCAATAGCATAGTCCAATGTGTATGGCCAATAAGGCGGTGAATTGTCAAAGATGGACATCGATGAGTCGTATGTAAAGTTCATTTCATATAACATTTCAAACTGTTTATTACCACCGATCTGTAGGAACGGCGCTCTCATACCACGTATGTCCCGGAGCTCTACACCGCCATAAGTGTGGAGTATATTTTTCTGGCCATTAATCTCTTTAATCCATTGACTTTTGGTGAACTTTTCGCCGAAACTATGTCTGTTATATTTTGATTTGCAAAACAGTAAATATATAAATATATGTATATATAATACGATATATATATATATATATATATATATATATATATATATATATAAATGAGTGCGTGATTCATATTAATTGGTTTAATATGATATGCAGGAAATCAACAAAAAATAATAATTTTCAAAAAAAACTAACATTATTATGAGTCAATTGATTTATAATTGTCTTATATATTGTATATTATTATTATATAAATAGTTTACTATGTATTATACATGTAAATAGTGAGTGTACTGTATATTCAGTTATGTTTAATGCATGAAATCAGTAATAATTTATTAAATGTTTAGTCCAGTAGTCGTGATGTTAGCGAACAGTGTTTGGTTTTTTACAATATATATAACATCAAAGATAACTGTTGTCTCAGAAAAAAACATAATTAAGTTTAGTTTGCAAACAACAATCACGAGAGTTGATAATAGCATCACTTATTGACAATATAATGCGCTCCTGTAGATCGTTGCCATACATGGGTTAACCAATTATGATTTTATATCATTAATAATATTATATAGTCAAGCAATTGATACTGGCGTGTAATTGTAAAAAATTAATCAATTAATTGATTAATTATTTTTGATTTTGCTTATAATATCGTGATATTGGATTTATAGCGAATAATTAAAATGTAAACAATAATTACTAATCAATTAATTATTTGTTTCCATAAAACAAAAACTATACTATATTTGTTATAACAAACTTACTAATTAATAATTATATTAGTAATTATATAATAAACTATTATATTTTATATATTGATTATTTAATGAGATTCAAAAAATGTTTTATTATCAATATATAAATGAATATTCAATTTGTTTAATATTAATCTTTGAATATATTTTTATATAAATTATAATACTATTTTATAAATATAATTTTTATATCTATGTATTATTATTATTTTGTTTATTATTATAATTATATTTATTATTTTAAAATATCTTTTTCTCTTTTGTTATAATCTTTAATATCACAATATATTAGCCCTAATGTGTCGTTTCCTTAATAATCAATGAGCGTTGAATGTCATCAAAATGATTGTCTGATATGTCATAAATATATTGACGAAAATTCTGATAAACTCAATGAATGCAAAAACAAGGCCACACTTTGCCAGAAACCACAATCGGTTAGAACCGGGAGCTAATAAATTATAGCACTGTAACTGATAGGTCAGTGTCAGCACATGTATGAACCAAAATACTGCGGCAGAAAACAAATATATCCGACCCTTTCGGATGAGTCGAAGTAGACGTCGATAATGACTACAAGATTTATTACGTGCGGACTGACGACGAAACCGTATATTCAATGTCTCAATACTATTGTCAATAAAATCCATAATAACTGTTGTTTTTACAGAAAATATTTTGCTTACTATTTAAAGAGATTATGATTTTTGATTATGATTTGAATTTTTCTCAATTGCTTCATAACTATTAATATAATTGACTTTTAATTTACTGTTATTTTTTTGTGTATTAACGTTATCTCGAGTATTGTTATAAATTATTGTATATATTTAACACTATACTATTAAAGTGTAGTTTTTTTTAATAAATTTTAGTACTTAAATATTTAATGTATTTACTGTACTTTCAGCTTATAATATGAGAGAAAGTCATAATTAATATGAATTTTATTAATACAGTATATATTTTAAAACACCAGATTTTCCTATATTTTATTTTTTTAAACAGTACTATGAGATTACTTACGTTATTGAATGCGATGCCATTTCGTGGCCCCGGGAGTACAGTGTCTGTACCTGTCCGTAATCGGTCCATTCGTGCGACACATAAAACGTGCCCCGAATGGGACAGCCGTTTGGATTAGTCCGATGCGGTTGAAAGATCTCCTCATAGATATGCCAATTGACATCATTGATTGCATCATCAAACGTTATCATTATAATTTGCGGTATTGTTGTTGGTAATAGTCCATCTTATGAAAATTAATTAATTAATTAATTATTGTAAATAATAATTAGAAAAAAAGTATCAATTACAATTTTGTTATTTACAGTAATATTTTGCGCTAAATTATTAATAATGTTATTTTTTAATTAATTATTTATAGTAAATATTAAATACCTGGACTATCAGTTCCACTGCAATGACAGTTAGGCGGTCTACATGACTTCTCCAAGCATTTGGTGGCCATCGTATAGGAATCATATGCGGCGGGCAAAGCGTTAGAAGATGGTCGTACCGATGCTGCCGACAGCACAGGTTCAACAGGTGTCTGTGCCGAGCTTTTCAGAGTATTTACAATTAACGGCCGATTGTTTGCTGTTTGTAATTCATTAATTGGTAAATGATTGACAACTGAACTAAATGTTGTTGTTGTTGTTGTATAGACAGACGGTTGTAATAGAGCTGGACGTCTATATTGGGTAATATTATTAGGCATCGGAGTAGTGGTAGTAGTTTTTCTGGTCGTATCGCTGCTTCGGTATGAGTAAAATACTGTGGGCGGAGTAGAAGCCACTGGAGGTTCAGGTATTTTAACATAAGGCTGTTTCGGTATACTCTGACCAGTGACCAATTGGTGGGTATAGTTGAGTGGCAGGAAAGTCAATGGTTCTAACCTGACTTCCGAGTCCAAAGTCTTAATGTATTTGACTAAAGGATTCAAATCAGTAAACTTTTGGACATTTATTTTGTGATATTTTTGACGACTAACTGGTTGTTGATGTTGTTGATAGAATCGGGGTATGCGTGGCATTACTACCGATGCTGAGGTCTGGTAGCTAACACTTGTGATAAAACCTTTATTAGTGTTATTATTGATACTATTATTTTTGTTTAATTTGCTAATTAGTGTCATATCTCTCATAGATTTTGATCTCTCATTAGTTGTATTTGCTGTCATATTATTGTTAGTATTGCGCTTAAGATCTATCTTTTGTATGACAAATGGTTCTGACATAATATCTGGTTGTTGGGCTACTAGTGCTGGATGTGGTGGGGCTGTAGTCGTTGTTGTCGTTGTCGATGAAACGACTTGCGGTGATAATAGAACTTCTTCTCTTGTGGTAACAAATCTTATCTCTGGTTCAGCAATAGACCGGCTGATAGTTATACCTGAGCCCATACGATGATGACTTGATATATCTGTCCTCAGTTTATCAATGATAACACCCTCCGACTCGATGTCGTCGTCAAAATGGACTACTTTTGAGCCACGATTTCGTTGTTGTTGTTGCTGTTGATGATAGTCCTTATCATACATTTGCTCCTTTCGCATACCTGTGCCAACAACAGCCTTATCTTTACTATGAACTGGTTTTTCCTATTAATGTACAGAAAAAATACTTTTTAAATACAGTATTATAAGTTATTATGTATATTTATATTATGCAGTACTATACTATTAGACAGTGTATATATTTATAAAAAAAAAGTTTAAATGTTTTTTTTTTGATTCATATAAATTAATGTTTTATTTTTGTTACTTTACATAATAATAATAATAAAATAATAAAAAAAAGTTTCAAAATAAAAAATTAAACAAGAAAATAGCAAAATTTGTATAGAAATAAGTTAAAGGCATATAAAACTAAAAGTAATTATTCATAAAATAAAATTAATTTAAAACATAGTTTTGTTGTTTTTGCTGTTATATAATATTATAATTTTAATACCTCCTGTATATACGCTTAACTAAGGGGGACTGTCTGTTATATAATCAATATAAATAAAATATTTAAAACAACAACAAAACTTAAGCAATAAATAATAGGTTCAATAAATAAGGTGCGCTTATATATAGTAACAACAAAAAATAATCACAACTTATTAATATATAATACATGAAAATTAAATAAAAAAAATTTGCTCATTAATTCTCACTTTATTCAATAATATATGCGCTATCGATAGATTGCTAATTGATATGTATAGTTATCTTTAATTAAATATAAAAAATACTAAAAATAGCTAAAATAACTTATATATTAAATTTAACTTTTTTATATTAACAGTAAACCATTGCAAAAGAAAGAAAGAAAGAGAGGAAAGGTATGTTAAGTGTACCGGTAATCAGTCAGCCCTTACCACGAATTATTTCACTAAAAAAAACTTAATACATATAAAAAAGTGTTAGTAAACTATTTATTATAACAAATTAATGTAATACAGTATATGATATATTTTTGTTTCAAAAATAAATACTATAATTATCTGTAATAAAAATTGCGTTTATTTTAAAAGTTTTATTTTAAAGAAACATTTTTTTTGATAATCATAAATACCTTATTATCCTGAATGGCTGGCCTACTGAACACAGAGATGTGATGATCAGATACGGTTTCTGGTGGCACGAGTCCATATAGACCTCCCGGTCCATCGTGTAGGTGTATTCCTCCATTTTCATCCATATACGATGCGATGGCTTCCTCTTCATACTCAGGATTTTGGAGGTCATCCTTGACGACGACTTTATTGCTGTGAAAATTGTTTTCCGATTTGTTGTCCTGACGTCCACCAAACTCCCGGCCATTTTCGTCCATCAGTTCAGTCTTCAAGTAAATCACATCCCATTCTACTGGAGCTTCAGTTGTTGTGGTGGTAGTTGTGGTCAGATATTGGCGGATATGTTGACCATAGCCTCCTTGATGTGTGGGCCGATTGGTCACTAATTTCTTACTGGAAAACTCTGCGTCCGTCTCAATGGTTTTATAATCAAATCGTTGTCTATCACTGTTGTCGTTGTGTTTATTAACTATAACTTTGTCTTTGAGTGACGACCTGTCATTTGACTCAGGCTTGTACTCTAGTCTACGACTGTCCTCCTGTTCGGTGAAGACCTGAAATACTGGTAGACTGTCTTCAACGTTATCACTCGAATCTATTTTCAATAATATATATCAGTATTTAATATTATTATAATTAATATAATATAACTTAAAAATAGACAATACATACAGTTTTTAATGTTATCGGTAGCGCACCGGACATTGATAGGCCAGTCACAGGTTTGGAGTTCCGATGAAAAATACAGACCACCCGTACAGGTCTCGTGTAAGGGTTCCCCGAAAACACATACAAAATATTTGGTACAATTTGTTATATCCGGATAATAGCCAAACTGTTCCGGACATTTGAATTGGCCTAAAGATGCCAACACTGGTCCAGGAAGTGATGACGAGTGATGCTTATTAGATGATGATAAATACGCTTCCGATGATGAGCTCAGGTAGGTTTGGTCACCTATTCATATCAAAAAACAAAAAAAAATCAACACATAGTTTATTATTTATATAATGATAAGATAGATGTTTGTGTGATAAATGATTTAAAAGACTATTGTTTTATAATATACAGTATATATAAATTATATTATATAATGAAAACACGTGTGATATGTTTCAAATGCATGTCAAACGATATGATTCATGAGTTTTTGAAACTTAGATTTTTTTTTGATTAATGATTTGTTTACAATAATTGCATAAATTGTATATATAGTTATAGTATATATATATATATATATATATTTGTTAGTATTTGTATGCTAAAAAGTATAATGCTAATGCATACATGCATTCATTTTATTGCTATTATTATTATTATTATTATTACATAATAAAAATAATAAAATAATAATACTTAGATTTTAAATTATCAAAACAATTAGTTATGATATATGCTTTTTTAAATAAATGTTTGAATAAATTTAATAGCATTTTAGTAGAAGTAATAGTATTATTATTATTATTATTATTATTATTATTATAAAATAAATTTATTAGACATACAAAATATAAACAAAAAATAAAAGTTATTTTTAAATATATAATAATTTTAAATATTTTATAAGTACTTATATAATAATTTTCGATGCATATAAAAATATAAATAATATATATATAATTTATGCATAGGCAATATTTATTGATAAATGCAAATATATGTATTATTAGTTTTATTTTATTTTTTTGAATTAATTAAAATATTTGTATATAAATAACTTATTTTTTGAACAATTAATAAATGCAACAAATAAAAAAAATAAAATATTATTATTAAATTTGATATTTGCAAATATGAACAAAAAAATTATTTTATAAAATGTATGGGAAAATTTCAAATATCTACTATATTTATGAATTTTTAAAAATAACATTTATTTTATAATAGTTTTTCTATTTCTAAAATAATTTGTATGCATATTATATATATATATATATATATATATATATATATAATATTAAGGTTGATATTATTTAATATATATTATCATTTTTTGTGTAACAACTTGTAGGACAACGTTTTTTGAATTGAATAATAGAAAATAAAGTTTTGATTTAATTTAAATAATAATAATTTTAAAATAACTAAAATTACTAGTTTTTAATGCATAAAACAATATAATGTATGTTATTTAGAGAGAAAATCAAACTTAATATTATAGTTTAACTTTTTTTTATATACCGGTATATACAGTATTGTATTTAATGAAACTTTTACACAATACAAAGCAAAATGTATAAATATAGTTACAAAAAAATAATATAAATGTATAACAATTTCATTAAATAAATGTACTGTAAATGGAGTTTTTATTCAAACCTTCAAAAATTACTTTGAATAGGTAACCATCATTTATAATAAAGTAATATATAGTATATAATATAATTATAATAACAATATCTATACTGTAATAATCATAATAAAAAAAATTGGGAGATGCATAAACTATATTGTACAGGTAAAGGTAATATCATATATTAGTAACTGTATACTGTATTATACCAATGGTACAGTACTTGTATAATAAAAAAAACTATAATAAAGTCCATTACCATCCTATCAAATTAAAATAAGTATGCGATAAATCACTAAACTTTTTTTTATATAATAGTTAATGTTATTATGTTGTTTTAACAAATGTAGCCAAAAAAACAAATGTTAACAAAATAAGAAACAGTTTTTTTTATTATAAAATATCAAATGTATATATAATATTATTCAGCGATAAAATTATGAATAATTTTAAAATCAAAATAAAAAATAAAAAAACAAGTACTCCTTTTTTAATGAATGCCATTATAGCCCACTATTTCATGATTGGCATAAGTTTTGAGTTGTTTTCAAAGTCAATGAAATACTGTACACTTAAATATACAGTATATTATGTTTGACTGTATATATATATTAATAATATTTATCGGTATTATGTATTTATAAATATTTATAAAAAAATGTTTAAATGTATAGTTTAAACATACAGTATATAAATTTATATATAATTGATACAAAAGTATAGTATTATTTTTAGTATTAGTATAGTTAATGCCACGCCTTATAGTAATTAACCCATATTGATATATATAAAATGCACGTAAATATACTGTATATTACATATTTTATAAAATATTTTTTGAACATTATTTAATAAATATAATTTAATTATAATTGCATTAAATTGCAATAAATGAAAAAAATTAACATTATTGTTTGTTAAAAAAAATTATTGCAACTATTTTTATTGTAATCAGTCATAATGGATTCAATAAATTACAACCATAATAATAATATTATTATTATTACATGTATTAAATCATATTGCTTTTTAAATATTAAAAATAGTAATAAAAAGAAATTAATTAAATAACTCTTTCAGTTATTAATTGTGAAAATGATTTATTGATAATTTATGAGTTTTTTAAATGATTAAGAAATTATTATATTTAACTATAATTATAATATAATAGTAAATTTCATCACATTTTGCAAGTATAATACAGTTTTGTATAAATTGTGAAACAATTATTGCAATTATATTTTGAAAGGATGAGAAATGCGATGAAATTAAATAAAAAGATTAATCATTTAAAATCAAAATAATTATATTTTAATTTATTAATCATAAAACTTTTGTTTTAGAAAAAATGATATGTAATTGTTTTATGCTATGAATTTCACCGATTGTTTATTTCATTTAAATATTGTATTCAAAAATATATAATTGTTTTGATTTTATAAGTTTTTATTATTTTATTACATTATTAACGTTACATAACTGCAGTGAAAGAAAAAAAACATTTAATTTTATATTTGAAAAAAAACAATAGTAAAAACAACATTTTTTTGGACTATTTAGTGCAAGTAAATAGATTAGATAAAATTTTTATATACTATAATAATTATGAGATTTTTGTTTGTTATTTGAAAACATCATTTCGGTTGTTATAATCACTAAAACTAACGAAAGATTTTTAACAAAAGATTTTTACAAACCATAATAAAAAAAGATAAAAAACAACAACAAATAAAATACAGAGAGAAAAAAGATAATAAAAATATCAAATAATAATTATTTTTATAAATATTTAGAAAACAAATAAAAATTTATGAAATTTATATTATATATAGAGTACACTAATGCTTAGTTAATAGGGTTTTGAAAATTTTATGATTACTTAATACAGTATTATTACATTAAAATTATTATTTATATTAAATAAGAAAAATAAATATTATTTTATTATTACACAAATAAAAAAAATATATACAAATCTATTATTTATAATATTGTATGGGAATCGTGTCTAACGTTTTAAACATTGTTATTATGGTATTAATGTTAATAATAATCGCCTTAAAATGTAGTCATAAATTAAATTAACTAAATATTATTATTAATAATAACAAACAAAAACACTTAGTTTTGTTGTTAATTTATTTTTGAATTTTTTTTATTATATTTGTTAATAATCTTATATAGTTTTGTTGAAAGATTTTTTAGATAGATATTTTAAGTTATAAAATAAGTGAAACATATGTTTTTATTCAATATATTCATGTTATTTATCTCAAAATATAATAAATATAATTAATTTTGTATATACTGTATGAATGTTTTATAAGATTATACTGATTATCATAACTTTTCCGCCAAATATTTAATATTATCTAATCTTTTATTGATCTTTACTTTCAATTTTCATCTCTTCATAACAAAATTATGTATTGTTTTAAATTAAATGTTTAAAACAATATTTTATTATTATTATTATTATTTCAGTTTTTAAATTGTCAAATATATCGTGTTATTATAAAATTATATATACTGTATATACAGTATTTGTTTTCATTGTCTAGAAGTAAGATATTTTCTCAATTTATTTTCCAATGAGTTTAACGGAAATCTTAATGATTTTTAAAAATATAATGTTTGAAATATAATGTTAATTAACATAAATATTAAAGTTTATATTTTCTTTATATTCAAAATTATTATTATTATTATACAGTATATTGTGATTCATCTCATAATATAGAGCAATGACTTATACAGTATATATATATAGAGGTAACTGATTATATAATAGAAAGTGATGCCCATAACTGTCATAATTAAACAATAATTATTGTATAACACAATTGGTGTCATTGTTTTTATAATGAAATGAGTTAAACAATTTAAAATACAGTATATATACTGTATATATACTGTATATATACTGTATATATACTGTATATATATATATATAATTAGTTGTCTGTGTCCTATTGTGGTCAACAAACATGACAACAACAATGATGATAATGATGAGCACTGGCAGGACAGGACCCACATGTCGTACACTACATATGAAAACTAGTAATTTCAGGAAATTAAATGTTATACACAGTTATAAAGGAAAATATATTATATTAGATAAGTTTTACCATTTAATGTGTGTATTATATATATATAATGTTAAATGAAAGTTGAAATAACTTTGCTTTAAAAATATGTTTAAAATTTTTATAATTTTATATAATGATGAGAAAAGTTTCATTTTAAAAAACAAACAAATAATAAACAATAATGACATAATGATAATTTTGTTATATAATATTATACATATATAAGACAACTATGCAAAGGAAATAATTTATTGTGTGGTCGTATTATTTCAAAAATTATTTATTTATTTCGTTATTATTATTATAATATTGTTTATGCGATAAAAATCTTATTATTTTAAACATTGAGAGAAATTGTTTTGTGTGTTAGTGTCTCTCTCATCAATAGACGTTGTGTGCGGCCAAACAATATCTTATTAAATATTATATTATTAATATATATATACTGTGTTATATGTATATATATATATATATATATGGTATACAGGTATCACATGTTAAGCAACAAGCGATGAGTGTGCCGTCCAATTGATTGTCTAACAAGACATGTAAAGAGATGACTGTTTATTGTTAGCTTTTTTCTAACAATAATATTGTAATAATAATAATAAAATAAAGAAATAACAAAAACATTGGACAACACTGTAATTGAATAGTAGTCACGATTTGGGAAAAGTCATTAAAAATAGTTTCTTATTTTTGACTCCTATTGTACATAATATAAAGAAACTTATAAATAAAGTTAGGGTTAGTCTATCTATATATATAAATTTATACAGTATATTTACTGTATATACCGCTACGTTTATTATCAATATATTATTTATTGTTGTTCATCGACTTTATTATAATGTATGCTACAATAGGTATATAAAAAAAATTTTATTACATAAATAACAAATCAATAAGTTTTGAAGATTGAAGAATATAGTATATATATATATATATATATATATATATATATATATATGTTTGAAAAATAATTATATTTATTGAACACTACTTTTTTATTATGTGTTACCTATTGTTAGGATATTGTTCGGCAAAACAATAATGAGAAAAAAAATATTATTATTTATTTCATAAAAATTAATAGTAATTATTCTATTTTTGTGCAATAATAATGTTATAGTTTTATATTATAATTTTACAGCTTTAGTTAATTTATTTGGCTTTTTTTATTACTATTTTTTATTAAAAAAATATTCATCAATAGTTATAAATAAATTAATTTAAAAAATAAGATAGTAGAAGTTGAATTAATTATATTTTTTATTTTTAAATCTTATTATTATTTATAAAAAAACATTACTTAAGGTATTCATTTAACTTAAATAGTTAATTATATTTATATTTTTTTAATTTGCGATATCTAATGCAAGTGTAATAATATAAATGGTATGTTAAAAAAATAAAAATAATTATAAATTATGTGAAAAATGTGTGATTTGTTTTTGTGCTTTTAATTGCATTAGTCTTATATAATATGATTTGACTAAATAAAAATTAGTCTAAAAGCAAAATGTTTTTTTTAAATAAATATATATAAAGTTAAAATTTATTTACTTTTTTTCAATTAAATTTAAGCGTTTATTAGCAATTTTTGTTACACTTTAATCATAAGATTTATATCATCTCTCACTCAAATAAAACTTGTTTTCATTTAACTATTTAACAAAAAAAATACTGTAAAATCTATTTATAAATATATCTATCAAACACATTATACTTTACGGTTAAATTTGTATTATAATATAATTTTTATGATATTTAGCCGCTCTTTTATACAGTATATTATATATAATATTATAGTGTATATACTGTACATATATAGATATATTGTACACATTAACGTATTTTATATATGTAATTAATTTAGGGATTAAACTCAATGTGAGATAATTATTTAGATAACATATAAGCATTAAGCTATAGTTCATATGAATTTTTGCTAATGTTAGATTTTTTTTGACAAAATACTATATAGCATTTAAACATTTATTTTGCATTACTTATCTTATGTTTATATAAAACATTCAAAATAAATATTTAAAGTTTTGGATTTTGCATAATATTATTTCAATGTATTTATAAAAAAAAATATTTATATATATATTTGATTAAAACTATAATGCATTTGACATGTCATGTGTATCAGCGATCAGATGTTGTTATTTCATAAAATATAAATAATTATCAACTTTTTAAAATATTTGATTGATTTTTATTAAAAATTGAAATCATGTTTTCGTGTCATTTGGCAAGTAATAAACACAACTATTTTATCATTAATAATAATCTCATTATTTTTTGTTTCAGTAGATATTAGACCTCTAATATTAAGTCTAAAGATTTAGTTTTATATAATATATATTTAAAAAGTTGTTTTTGACATATGAACTAATAAAAATTAAAATTAATTATTTTTTTTTGTTTAATGGCATCAATAAACAAACAAAAAATCAGCGTCAATAGCATAAAAAATCAATTTAGTTTAATATATTACATTACATGATTTGTATAAATACATCAATAATTTAAATGATATGATCATTAACGCAATATTTAAAAGCAATTTCTAATATTATTAAAGTTTTTAAAAACTAAAAAAATCAAACAGTATCTAATAATTATGACAAACATTTTTTTTAAAAAACTATATATAAAGAAATATATTTTATCCAAAATTATTAAATAGTTTTCAAATCTTAAAATCAAGTTGAAAATAATTTATTAAAATAAAATTTGTGTTTTTTTTTATTTTATAATTTAAATGCAGTCATAAAACATAACAAGACATGAGCTATGAATGTAATACACGAGAAATTGCAATTCATTTTCATAATGAAAAAAACTATATTTGATAATAAAAAATATTAAAAAATAATTTATTTTTAAAAACTTGATGTTGAAAGCGAATTAATTATTTTTTCTTATATAAATATAAACATAATATACATAAATAATTATGTTTGATGTTATAAAAAAAATCTTCAATTTACTAAATTTATTTCAATTTTTTCTATTTATATTTTTTTATTATTAATTATAAATAGAAACAATAATGTATTTGTTAGGAGTGTGTTTTCATTATTAAAAAAAACTAAATATAAAACTATATACTTATTTAGATTACTATTAAAAAACTTTATGCAATAAAAATAATAATGAATAGAAATGTTTGCATACCTTTGCATAATGTGATGATAATGATGACCAAAAAAATTGGTGATAAATAGGATGATATAGAGGACAACATATCCCTGTCTTAAAGCTCTGATATTTTAAAATAAAGATCACGCAATGTTAGTCCGTTTTGTGAAAAATAATATTAATAACTATATTATAAATATTTTTAGTCAAAATCTTTGATTTATAATAATAATTATAGTAACAAATTGACAACATTTGCTAAATATTAACGCAAAAATTTCAAAATACATTATATTTGGTTTAGGTTTAACATAATTATCAAAATATTGTTTATATTAATAATTTTACAACAAAAAATAATTACTATTTTGCACGCATTATAATTGGGATAAATATTTTCAAATTAAATCTTACTTTAAATAAGACAATATTAAAACATTTTTATTATATTATTAAAAATGTTGATTAAACATGTGTTGAAATAATAGATAAATCATTATTAAAAACATACACACGTTTTAATATTCATTTCATTAAAATTAATATATATTCACAAATTTTAATCATATGATTACAATAGAAATTGCAATTAACTTTTATAATAAGATATGTTTGAAGAAAAAATACTAAAAAACAAAACTAAATTAATATAAACAAAACAAATATTTTCACTTTATATTCATTAATAATAGCAGATAAGTATTATAACARAATATTTTCATTACTAATATAATTATTTTTTTTAATAAAATAATAATAATTTGTTTGCACAATTAAAAAATAAAAGTGACAATTATTATTATTAATAATGAATAAATTTTGCTTTAATTAAAAATATAGTAAAATTATTAAAATAAAAAACTTTTTACAAAATAATTATAATAAAACAATATTGCAAATTAATTATTTCAAGTTAAAAATGGCATTTATCAGGAACATATTAAACAAAAAAATATTTAAATTAATTAAATAAAATTATTATTATTATTTTGTACACAATATAAACAATGTACTTGATAATTTTAAAATAAAATCTTATTTAATAAATGACTTGAATATGTGTGAGAAAAATAATTAACAACTCATATCTCTCTTTCAGGTATCAGTCGGTAAGTCATAAAAGAGTAGTTTCTGTTTAAAGGACTAGTAGTATAGCCCGCTTGTGATCTGAGAGATGGGGTTTTTTCTGTGGATGGCATGCAATGGATGGGTAATTGGCATATGGATGGGCAAGTGGGAGGAGTGTTGTTTTTGGGCACTGACTGGAATTGAGGTGACCAACAAAATCCCTGTTCTCCACCAAAAAAATAAGATCATATAATTCAAGCAATTTTTGTGTGTGTATTGGCTTTGTTGTTGTTGTTATGTTATTGCAATGAGAGATAGAGACAACAGGTATGTGTAAGTTAATAATATAAGTGCTGAGAGTAACGGCATGTGTGTGTGTTTGTATGAGTATAACATCACTTTAAAAAAAATAAATGTTAAGGCATGCCATAAATTATATATAAGACACATGTTGTGTGTATATATCGGGTTTCAATATATTATCGAAAAAAATTAAATAAATAAAAAAACAAATAAAATTTTTAAATATACAAATTTAAATACTATTTTTTTCGCACATACTTCTATAGAGTTGAGTGCACCGGTAGCTAAAATATTTTAGGTATGAACGATATGATTGAATGTATGTATGTATGTATAGATGAGTTTGTTAAACATGAAAATTTTATTGATTACTATTCGTGTTTTTAATTCATTGTTTTTTCATTTAGTTAATTCAATATAGTGTACACTATTTCATGTAAAAGATTGTATAAAATTTAAAAAATTATTTTTATTTTGATAAAAAATATAAATATATAATTTTTGTACTCTTTTATAAAATGTATATAATATAATATATACTGTATATATAAATTATATATATAGATTTTATCAGTAAACTTTTAATGAGATATAAAAAACAATTAAAAAATAAATATTTTTTTAAAACAAAAAATAACATATTAGTTATAAAATTTAATAAGCATTAATTTTTTTCAAAATGTATTTTTTATGGTATTAATGTCAGTGATAAATGAGTAAAAAATTTAAAAATACATACATTTAAAGGATTTAATTAGAATTTAATTAATAATTTAATGTTTTGTTTTATGCATTGAATCAATCATTAGTTTAATTGTTGTTATTTTTGTATAAAATTTGCATTAAATTTTAATTAAATAAACTGATAAAAATGTTTATGTGGGCAATCAAGTTAATTAAATTTTTAAAAATTATTAGCATAAAAATATTAAATTGTTTAAAAATTAATTTATTGCATATTTAACACAATATATTATGCGTAAAATATTATTATTGTATTTTTAAAAATATTGTATATAAATATTATAATTAAATTTTAAAAATCTTATATTAATTTATAAAAAATATAGCTTATATATATAAATTTTATTGACATTGACATTGATTTAAATATATATATATATATATTATGCAAAACATTTAATTAAAGTTTTATTTATTAATTATTTTTTAGACGCACCGATACATTGTATTAATTTTTATAATATGATTTTTTTAGTCAAAGCATATCAAGCATTGAATGTATGTTCACTTTATAATGAGATTTTAAGTTAAAAGGTTTTACCCATAAATATATAGATCGACAAGTATTTGATTTTCAATAAATGTAGAGAAAGTGTTATTACAAGCTATATATGTGATAATTATAACAAAATTATTACTTTTAAGACTAATTATTTGATAATTAAATTGTTATTTTAGTGAAATATATCTAATTTTAAATTATTTAAATAATAGTAATACCAGTATTCATTAAATATAAGATATTTCATATTTTGTAAATTTTTAATAATAATGTATAGCAATGTAACAATATATATTTTATTTAAAAGTAATTATTTATTACATAAGAAATAATTATAATAAACATTAATAAATAAAAGTTTTAATCATTAATAAATTATAAATAAATGAGTTATATTTGAATATAAATATTAAGTCAATTAGTAAATAATAAAAAAATAATACTAATCTTTAAGTGAAAACATTATGAGTTTACAGATAAAATCTATCGCTATATTCATTAGGACTCTTAACCAAAGTTATAGACTCGTCATCGATGGGCTCATAATATGGATAATTGACCCATACTTTGATTATCGTTTGTGTCAGTAATGCACAGTACAGGTCGTCCATAGAGTCGACTCTTTTGCCATTGATATGTGTAATCACATCATACACTTGAATATCATTACTAAGAATTTATTAGTAATAAACATTTTTTTTAAATATAATTATTATTTTACTCTAAATATCTTTTATATAAAAATTATTAATTTATGTATACATACGTGTCTAACAAAATTTCACTGTTTATTGAGTACACAAGTATACCCTTATAGTCAGGTAATAGATTGGGAGAAATACCACAATCGATGAACTCCTGTCTATCGTTTGGGTCGTACCAATAGACTGACAATCCATAGTTTTGCAACAGTTTTTGTTTAACACTATCCACATAAGCTATATTTGTTGATACAATAAATTTATCAATAATTTATATAAATAACAACAGAATACTTTTTTTATAAATTAAAAAAAATTATATCATTTGATCGTACATTTGACAACATGTATGGGAACGGCAGCATTGATCTCACACTTCAATGCTTTGATATTAATAGCCATAACCTGACCATTACTGTCTACTATAGCATTTCCATTATCGTTTTCTTTGACGACAGCCGTGTGCTGTACTAATGGCACAGTTATGTCGTCGTCCACAGCATTCGGCTTGAGATCTGTTCGTACGACTACACCGTCGTGTAGTAGATTGTAATGTGTTGGCTGCCAATTGCCTACAGTGTATATAATATCGCCCAACTCATAGTCCACACTACTGTCGGCCATATCAATTACTGGCCAATCATTGCGCATCCCATCCAATTGAATGACTGACAAACCTGTTTCCGGATTTAGGTCGACAACACGGGCCTCATGTGTTGATCCGTCGTTGAGTCTTATCTTAACGTATGACGAGATGCTGAGCCGATCACAAGCCGAGACAATCAGTCCCGAAGAATCCACAATACATCCGGAGGCGAGTATAAGCTCTGGTCCCTCATAACCGGGTGGATATTGTTGGTCATCTGTATTATGAACTGTAGGTTTGATGGCAACAAACGGTGCGAACCACTCATTACTAAACGGCTTATTGTTTTGCATTAAAGCTTTTCGCATAAATATCCGATTGTGTTGACTCTGTAATGTCTGTACAGTTAACCACTGGTTAGGATATTGACGACATTGAACTGATAGACACCAATCCCTCGACAAACAATTACTTGTGGCCACTACTACTGATGGCAGCAATAGATTTCTAGTTAATAATAAAAATCAAAAAAAAAATTATTACTCATGATATCGCACATATCAATCAAATTAGTTACCTAATCGATAGCATTGACTGCATTTAATTTATCAATTATTGTGTTATTCAATAGTTATTAATGTTTTGAATGTCGACTAAAAAATAATTGATATTATATTAGTTAATGGATTACTGAGAAATGTTTTGATTGTTCAAAAAAAATAGATAACAAACATTTAAACAAATATATTCTATGTTTGAATTTATTGTTTGATATTAATGCTTAAACAACAATATTATTTAATAATAAACAAATATTATACATAAAAAATTTAACAATCAATAAATATATAAGATTAAAATCAAAAAATAAATTATTATAAACTAAATAAAATAAAAATAAACTATTTATTACCGTAATTTAAATAATTAATGCATAAATTAGTTAAAAAATTAGTTCTGCAAAAAAAGTTAATAATATTTCAAAATAAAATTATAAGCATTTAGATAATGAGTCTATTTTTAAATGGGTAGTTCCTCTGAAAAGTCAACTGGCCCTCTCTCCAAAATAATGGGATCTTTATTGGGATCGGGATTATAGTTGGGTTCATTAGTCCATACTTTGATCGTTGTTTGTGATTGTAGTGCACAATACAGATCGTCCATAGAGTCAACTCTTTTGTAATTAATATGTGTTATCAAATCTAATTCACTGATACCACTAATATTACAAAGTAATACATATTAATAATTAATAATATTATTATTAATTATCAAATAAACTATCAAAAAAATTAAATATATATTTTTTTGAAAAAATCTTTTAATACATACGCATTAATTAACTGTTTATTGTAAATACCATAGACTAGTATTCCCTTATAGTCTTTAAGTTGATGTTTAGAAATACCGCAACTCATGAAAACGTCTTTATCTTTCGGGTCATACCAATAGGTCAACAGTCCATACCGTTGCGATAGTTTTGTTTTAACTCTATCGATATATTCTAATATTATAATATATTTCATAATTAAAATAAAATATCAAACAATATATTTAATATATTAAGTTCAATAAATGTCTAAACCTTTAACTGTATGCATGGGAACGGCAGCATTGATCTCTAAATCAAAGTTCTTAACATTGATGGCCAATACTTTACCATTGGTGTCGACCACAGCATTGCCACAATCGCCTTCTTTGATGACAGCCGTGTGTTGGACTAATTCACATTTAATTTTGTAGTCCTCTTCTATATTGAGATCTGATCGCACAATAATACCCTCATAGAGATGATTATAATGTCCGGGCAGACAATTTCCCACACTATAGACTGCCTTTCCCATTGGTAACGGCAAAGTCTTAGTGTCAAACATTTCGATGACTGGCCAGTCATTGCGATTTCCATCCAATAGAATAGTTGCCAAACCTGTGTCAATATCACGGTCGACAACACGGCCCTCATGTACTTCCCGATTGTTGAATCTGACCCTAACGTATGACGCGCTACCAAATCCTTCACACGCAGACACAATCAGACCCGACGGATCCACAATACATCCCGAACCCAATATGATTTCGGGTCCTTCATAGCCGTTAGGGTACTGCTGAGGATCTGTATTATGAACAGCAGGTTTGATGGCAACAAACGGTTGAAACCAGTTATCTTTGAACGGCATTTTGTTTTTCATCCACGCTTTTCGTACAATTATCGGATATTGACTCACAGTTGGCCACTGACGCCGTGAATGTGATTTTGTCCAATCAGTCGGCAAATAATAACTGGTAGCCATTACTGATAGTATGGCTATATTTCTGAAAATATAAAACAAAAATACATATAAATTATCGATAAAATCTTAGTTTCAAACTAATTGGTTACCTCTTCGATAACACTGACATCATCTATAAGTTTAGTGTAATTGTCTGAATAAACTCTTCAAAACTAGAGATAATTTAATATAACAAATATATAACTATTTGAATGTCGAAAGAAATGTTGAAATATTGGATTCAAGAGTCAGTGAAAGAAATTCAAAAGAGATTAACTAAGAATTACAGTTTATTTTAATGAAAACACTTGTAATGTTTTTTTTATTTTAAAATTAATTTGTAAACAATTGTATCGCGAGATGTACAGTACATTTGCAATTCACATATGCAAACGCTATTTGTAATAAATTTTAATACAGAAATTATATTTATTTAATATTATATTTATTATTAATTAAATTAATTAATATTATTAATAATTATTAATTGAATGATAACGTTACAAATTATTTTTATCAGACACAGTGATAACTATTTTTAATATAGTAATATAATATAATATATAGTAATATAATAATACAGTATGTAAGGACAGGGATAAAGATTTATTAAAAATGAAATAATATAGTTGTTTGACTAATTTTTTTATTATTTAATATAACTCACTAAAAATAAACTTTTAATAACTTTAATAAATTAACTCAATGTGTTAGAAAATTATTATTCATAGATATATTTTTATTACTATAAATAGTATACTACTAGTAATTAATTCATATCAGTTATTATAATAATTTACAATTATTGAAAAAACATCAAATAAACTATTTATATATAATAATAATACTATTGCGGTTGATTTAACTGAATAAACATAACGGCAAACGTTAGGACTGATCCCAGAAATGCAAATATAAATTTCATATCAATGGGAAACAAATTCCAGGCCTGATATGTACTGCAAATATAGCAATCTTTTAGCACCTGTATTAATAAACATCTGTCCACTGGCGACAATTTGCGGCCAACCGAAATCGTATAATTGTTAAGCCATACGTGTATTTCATTGATAGTAGGCTTACGTGTGTGATAGTAGTTCAATGAGATAATGTATAGACTATATATGATGGCCAACATAACAAACTCGGAAAAGTACTCCAGTATTAACCATAAAGTATTAGTCCTCTCAACCATACTTTCCGATGCTATTTGTGTTAATCTAAAGCATGTACTGGAGAACAGTTCGAAAAACCAGAGGAACGGTAGTAAACCTAAGTTGTCGTCAATGGTTTGTTTCAGGTGTTGAAGATTCAGAAACTTTTGCCCAATTTCTTCGTAACTCTTATACAATACTATAAACTCGTTGTTATTGTTGTTTTTGCTGTATTTTTCGTGTCCAAGATTTATCTGACTGAGCAGTTGCCGTTCAATGAGATACACACCGTAACAAATGGTAGTCACCAGTAATACAGAAGTAATGATCCCACCGAAACCATAGATGGCCCACAATAGCTCACGTATTATAACTTTGGGATCATCGATGGTAAGCCATATAAATATTACGGCATTAATGATCACAAATATTAACCAAATACCAGCAAAACAGATGCTCAATAAGTATAGTTGTCTGCTATGTTTTGATGATAACTGTGCGCTGATTGTATACATAAGTTTGTTGATTACTTGCCTCTTGTAATTCATGTGTATATAAGTGATACATACTATCCATGATTTCATGTGAAATGAAAATTTATATAAACTTTTGTGATCTTTTGAAGTCAATGCAAAGTGAAGAGTATAACCAATGAGAAAAATCTGGATTATTATTGTCAATATTGTTAGCAATTTTTTAATAAAACTGACAAAATTATTAACAATCTTATCAGTAATAGTTAAAAAGTTAAAACCATAGATAAAATAGATAACTTTCATTGGTATAGACATTGTTTTGCTAAATATTAAAATAGTTTCGTTGTGTTTAAATTCAATCATAACTATTGGCTATACTAAAGGTTTAGCTAAAAATAAATTTAGCTTAAATTAAGATAAAATCATTTTTTTATCTTATTTCTAAATGTAATTATTTTTTAATATTAATATCTATACATAATATATATTGCATAATATTATCCAGTATTCATTACAAACTCAACATGATGTAAATTATAATATAAAAATTTATCCAAAAAAAATTTAAATACTATTATATAGATTATAATTATAACCAGCAGGATACTATTTTTTTACACTATAACATATTGTTTATTTTWACACTATATGTAACTATAGATATTATACTAAACATTAATAAAAACAACTAACAAAATATTTTTAATGTCAGGTTTTTTATAAAAATTTAATATCCGGGAAGTATTACAAACTAAGAAATAAAATTAAGTGTATTAAATATTGCATATTAAATAGTAACAAAATAATATTTAAATAATGATATCATATTTCATAATAAAAAATAACTATTTGAACAGAGAAAATGATTAATATTAAAATAAATTTAGTTTATTTAATAATTAATTTGATATCAATAGTAAATGTGGTAATAATCGCTCAAAATTGTTATGACATTAGCAAAGATGATTGTTTATGTGGAGCACCGGTTCAGCCATACGGTGTGGTAACAGTGACAACAACAACAACACTGAGAACACCATCAACGACGGCACTGGAGACGGACAGACCACCCGATGCTCAAAAACCATTTAGTAATACAAATAAACAATTTTATGATAATAATGTTAGCGTACGATATAAATGTTACGATGAAAATGCACTGTTAGTGGGCAATGAGGTACGTAACTGTATGTTTGGCCATTGGATCAATGATGTACCCCATTGTGGTCAGTGATTAATATTAATAATGTAAAAAACTATTAATATTATGCATTAGTTATATAATTAATTTATAAACTATACTTTAATTATTATTTATAAACGTGTAGTTTATAACAATAACAAAAATTGAACATTAATTAGCTGAACACTGTTTAGTTAATAAATAGAGAATAGTTTCTAAATATATTTTATATTAAACAAAAAAATTATTAATATTTTTAATTATAAATTTATATTTTATATTTTAATTTTCTAGCAATACCAATTGATATAGACAACATAACTATGTCAAACATTATTTGGTCAAATTATGAGTATAAATTTGCTAATTATAGAGATAATGTCAATAATAATAATACTTTTATAACAAATAAAACTTCAACAACATGTTTATTATTGACTAATAATGATCATACAAAAATTGTCCATGATAACATAATTAAAATATTTGTCAATCAATCACTTGCCCATAACTTAATTACTTTAAACGTTTTCAACATAAATAATATATCAAACATTGACAATCAAATTCATGTATTATTTAAAGATGATGATGAAGATAATAATAATTTCAAAAAATGTCTATTGTATCATGGTCAAATTATTAGTAATGATCAAATACATTTACAATACGACTGCAGTCGATTTACTAATGAGACCAACTTTATTAATTATAACTATACTAACACTGATAATAATAATAATAATAATAATAATAATAATAATAATAATATAATATAAGTATAAATAGCAAATTGTATGACATTGGTGTTTGTGATATAAAATTTTATCGTTTTAATGCCGACTGCGGACAACCCGATGAACAACTATCGCAGCGATATAGTCAAACAAAACCGATTAACAGCGTATCTGTATATAAGTTTTCATGTGTTAAAGATAAGTATAAACTGATTGGAAAGCCTAAAATATCGTGTTTATCTACTGGCCAATGGTCAGATCCATTTCCTCAATGTATACCTAAATCGTATTGTAAGCCAATAGACTTGAGCTATTTGAATGCTAATATAAAAGTTGTATATAATAATAAATTAGTAACAAATGATGGACAGGTACATGTGCCGAATGGTATGTCAGCAAAGTTACAATGTGTTACCAATAATGGAAATAATAAAACTAATAATAATTATCGATTAACTAATAAAATAGTATTAATCTGTAATCATAGCAATTGGATTGGACTACCGCTTGATGATAGTGTTCAATGTGTTTTAAACAATACGGGGCCACTAATTGGTGACATACAGGACCATAGCATAGATACGACTAATATTATAACAGTATCAATAATGGGTGGACTGTTAGCTGTGTCCGTTTGTATTATACTTATATCTATTAGTTAYAATTTATATACACGTAATAAAACAATTAATACTGACGATGATAATAATAATGTGGAAACTTATGATGATATTATGCTAAATGAAAAATATGATTTGAATAATACTAAATATGATGAACACATTTATCAATTACCATTTCCAACATCTGATTATATTTATAGTCATCAATATTTAGAAATACATGATTAATATAAAAACTAAATATATTATAAACAATTTATTAGTATTTATATATATTTTTATATTCAATATACAGTGTATATTTGTTATACAATAATTTTTATATAAAATAAAATAMTTTCATAAATTAATTTAATTGAATAAAATAAACATTATAAAGCAATAAATGACAATTTGTTTTATATTATTTGCAATTTTCTACTGATAATTAAATATACATTTAAATTCAATAGTATTATTATAACAACAACAATAATCATAATTGCAATGCAATTGTTTGGGACAACCAAAGTCACAACAGCCTCCTATTTGAGTGTTTACTAAAATAAAAAATATATACATATACTATATACTATATAATACAATACAATTTTTAATTATAATTAAAATATGATTTGCATTTTAATTATCATTTATACCTTCATTAAAAATAACAATTATTATAATTATTATAAAACAAATAATTTCTAACAATTTAGCCATTTTTAATATTTTGCAGTTTTATTAATGCAACTATAATAATATGATAAATTCAATTCAATATTATTATTGCATWGTGTTTGTACAGTATATGAGATTTTATACTTTAAAATTAACTAATTCATATGATATTGCAATTATTAATTAAATTACTAATATAAATATTTTATTTTATCAATAATCAACATATAATATAATAAAATATAAGTTATTATTAAATAACTTAATATAACATAATATAATATTAATATAATACTGTACTTACTATAATATAATTTATTATAGTTTTTTATATTAAATATCATGTATTGAATATGAAAAAAATAAATGTCATAATTATACGCCATCTGTGAACGGGTAGTCCGGATGACTTCTAGCTGTTCCCAGTGTTAACAGTTTGGGTCGTTGTTTCAATCCATCAATGATTTGCATTTCTTGATCGGTTAGATTGAAATCAAAAATATAGATATTTTGTCGCATATGTATAGGGTTTACAGTTTTCGGTATAACAGCCACACCTCGCTGTATATTCCATCGGAGAGCTACCTGGGCTACAGTTTTGTTATGATTTCCGGCTATTTCCCTAAGCTGTTGCTCTTCTAACAGATCGTATCCCTGTCTAAGTGGTGAGTAGGCTGTCATCAAAATGCTATTGTTTTTGCAAAACTCTAACATTTTTATTTGATTGTAGTATGGATTGCATTCAACCTATTGGTGAACATTCAATATAATGTAGAAATTTTATAGCATTTAAAAAAACGTTGTGTAACTTAGTGAAAAAAAACTTAATAATTACCTGATTAACAACTGGTTTGATATTAGAGTTTTGTAACAATGTTTGTAATTGTTTTATATTAAAATTGGCCACACCTATTGTTTTGGTAAGTCCTAACTGTAGGGCATCCTCCATACCGGCCCACGTCTCCAAATAGCTATTTGGCTCCCAATCTCTAGGAATATTTGACAAATTGCAGTACATAGGAAACACATTATCGCCATTTGAAAACCCGGTCGGCCAATGAATGAGAGCCATATCGACATAACTGAGTCCCAGTTCCCGGAGCGATATCTTCAGATTCTCGATCACCCGATCTCTACTGTGAAAGTTATTCCAGACTTTGGTTGTAATAAACATTTGTTCCCTTTTGACTAATCCATCGGCAAATGCTCGGCGCAGAGCATAACCAATGGCTTTCTCGATGTTGTAAAAGTATGCGCCGTCTATATATCGATAGCCAAGTTTGATGGCTTCGTAGATGACACGAGCCGCTCGGTTATCGTCGTTGAACAGCCACGACCCGAGTGACCAGACTCGGTCGTGATTTATACGCCAACAGCCGAAGCCTACGAGTGGCAGACGGTGTTGGCCATCGTTGAGACGCCTCCGAAGTACACGCGGTCCTTATAATTAAAGTTATAATAAATTTAAAAACTTATAATAGTTTTTTTTTAGTTTATATCATCAATCGTTATAAATTAATAAATAAAAAAATTTAACATCAAATAATTACTTTGACATTTGATAGTGCATATTAATAATTGCAAACAAATTAAAATAGCAAACAATTTGACTATAAAATTAAATTTAATTGAGTTTATTTTAATAATCATAACTTTTATGTGTATAAAAACTGGRTGAAAGTTATGTGTAAATATGAATTTATTTAAATAAAAAAATTTATTTATTTATATTTGTATTATATTTAATCATTTAGTATAATATATATTATAAATCTACTTTCAAGTTGTCAATCAACTCATCATTTATTTGAAGGTTAATTAAAATAATAATTGTTTACTTCAATTGAAAAATGTATTAACACTACATTATATGAGACCACTTTTAACTAAATTATGACAATAAAGTTTTTAAAATTATTATTTGATTGATTTGGTCACATCCTACTGATCATTAGTGTACAGCTTTTGTTTAAAATTTAAGGAAAGTTTTATAGTAAATTTCTCATTGTGTTCATTCAACATTTTTTTTTAAAAATCTAGATAAAATTGTTATTATTCAAACTGAGAGTTTAGTTTATGATTTATAATTTTAAATAACATAATTTAATTTATAGGAAATATGTTACTAAAAATCACATTAATTTTATAATTATATAGTTATATTTGATTTATTTAAAAAAAAAAATTATATTTACATTATGTAGTTATTATTGTTGTTGTTATAAATAATATTGAAACTAAAATATTTATTTAATTATAAGCAATTAATTTTTTTAAATGTTTATTTAACATATTTAGAGATATATTTTAGTTTTATTTTATAACATATAAGAGAAAATTACTAAATTCTTCCATAAAATATTTTAGAGAAATTGTCTAAACATTTGTACTGTACTAACATTAATACATTTTTATTATAAAGTTTATAATATAAACAGTATAAGGGTTTTTAAACAACAATAAAATTATTTTATTAACAATTTGATATATATATTTATTAAATTAATTGTATAAATTACTACAAATGACATATTTATTAAATATTTTAGTTAAATTTATGTAGTTTTATAATTGCATTATACAGTATATTTAAGTTATAATTTGAAAAACATTATCAAAACATTTTATAAAAAAAGTATAATACTGTAAATTATTATAATGTACGTAATATAATTGAATTTACTACAAATGTATTTTATATATAATAAAAATTTTGTAATATAATATTATACATTATTTTAAGTAATTGAATAGCATACACATTTACAAAATAAATATTTAATTAATATAATAAAAATTAATTTCAAAATTGATATATCATCTTACGTAAACACATTATTTGATATTAACATAAAATTCAATAAAAATTTATCAATTTTATGTTTGATTGTAAAAAATATTTTGTTTGTTTTAAAACAGTTAACTTAATTAATAAACAATCAATCTTTTTTATTATTAATATTTTATATTATCGTTTAATTTATATTAATGGCGACAATATTTTATGTAAACGAAAATATTAATCCAATCGATGAATATTATAAAATTAATAACAAAACACTTTTATCGTCTGATAAATTGAAACAATTAACTGGAGTTAAACTAGAAATTGTATTAATTATATTAATAATTATTTAATTAAGTTGAAAAACAATAAATAAATTTTAATTAATACTAAAATATTGTGCTATTTATTTGATAGATTGACAAAATATCGTTTAAAAACTTTGAAAACGATAACAACTTATCAGATATTTGTGGTATAATACCTGTCAATTATGTGCACAGTTATGACAGCACTGATATTACCTGTGAAAAACATAGGTTTAAGTTTTTGTTAAGTCTTATAATTGAATGACTAATTTTTATAATAAATGATCACAAATTTTGTAGCCCTGAGCCGGAACACTTTCATTTGGATAATGAGATAATTGTGATGCAAACTGGTATCGGATTTTTGTTGGTCCGCACAGTTGGCGATGAATTGATTTGCATTGTTATGACAAAGGGCTACAAACTGACACTACCGGCCGGTTGTATACATAGTTTTCGGTGTCAGTTCACTGATAAATATAGATATCATACGGTTTGTGGTCCCTGTTTTGAACCGGATAAAGAGCACCGGGTCTATTTGGATTATCAACAACATTTTATCCACTAATTTCTAATATTATATTATTTTAATTAGATTTATATAATTTTTTAATACTAGATTATAAGGTACTGTATTTTATAATTAGTAATATCAGTTATATTTATTTTATTTTTAATTTATTATATTAAAATATATACTATTATGAAAACTGTAAATCTAAAATTTATTATAAATTAAAATATTTTTAATAATTATCATTATTTTAAGCATTTTTAATGAATAAAATAATTATGCAAAATCTGGGTATTAAAAGTTTTACTGATAAGAAAATTATATTAAAATTAAATTAAAATTAAATTGTTTTTAATTGACAAAAATTTAATTTTTGTAATATTAATAAAATTACTGATTTATTAAAATATCAGTAAAAAAATATATTATAATAAAGATATTTAATTTATATCTACTGTTAATAATGTATTAGTAATTTAATGCAATTTAATTTGAATAAATAGTTTTATATACACTAATCAATTAATCTATATATTTAAATGTTATAAATTTCTAAACTCTAAAAATCAATATTTAAATAACAGATAGATATTAATATAAACTGAATTTTTATATATTAAGAAACACAATCCAATTGCTATACATTTTTATCGGTCACTTTGGGCGAAAAATTTTGTATCCATGGGTCAACCATCAGCTGAGCACTGGTAGCTCTTAGTTTGATATTTGGTTCAAGCATTTTCTTTATGAATGACAACAAATCTGTGGATAATTTGGCGGACACTTTGCTTCTGAAGCGCCACTCTTTTGCCAGTTGTTTGCGAAGCATTGTCCGGTCGTCACCCAAAGGGAACGGTAGGCCATCGTTAAGCATAATAAAGAAACAAACGCCGAGAGACCAGATGTCTGATATTAACGGATTGTGTGGAAACTTCTGCAACAATTCAGGCGAGAAGTACGGCAATGAACCGCAAAATGTCGTACTCTTGAAGTCTTTGTTGGGAACCTCTACGGCGTAACTAAAGTCTGATATCTTGGGATTTAGTTTTTGAGTCAATAAAATATTTTCCAGTTTGAGATCCCGGTGCGCAATATGCTGGCTATGCATGTGATGAATGGCGTCTAATATCTGGACAAACATTTGATGAGCTGTTAGTTCGCTGAATGAGCCCTTGTTTTTCAGCCAATCGGCTAACGTTCCGTTCGGTGCGAACTCCATAATCATATAAACTTTGTTCGCCGACTGCGAGATCTCATACATCTTAATGATGTTCTTGTGTTTGATGGCTGACAACAGTTTGACTTCAGCCGGCAAAAAGTCTACCCTATAGTGATGTGTCGCCCGTTTCAAATCAATTACTTTGACGGCAACCGGTTTCTGGCTATTATTAAACGCTTTAAATACTTCGGCATAATTGCCGGCGCCTATCGACGCATCCAATGTATAGCCTTTTTTAGCCAAAAAGCTTTTAACCAATTGATACTCATCGCGATCCGGTTGAGACTTCTTTGTCAGTGAATGTTTCTGTTTGAGCTTATCATACCCATCATCGCCCTGAGCTTTGAACGTGTCTTCCTTAAGCTTGTCGTCATTAATTAGGCGTTTTTCGTTGGAGTCGTTGGTGTCCTGTCCAACATCTGCACCCTTGTAGAGAATACCAACGCTTTTTTCGTTTTTATCCGCTTCGCCTACCGGTGCCGTCGGCTTTCTTCTATCATTATTATCCACTTTTTCAGAATTGCCAGAACTGGCACAACACGCGCTACCCATTGGTTAGGATTAAAAACTAAGACACAAATGAAAAATAATACTCTTTTTTTTGTCACCAATTGATTACTTATTTAGTGAATAAAAATTACAGAAAAATATATGAGATGACAGTTAACTAAAAAAATAAATAAATAATATTAAAACTATTTAAAACTATTGATTATTACACGTGAAATCTATTTAATTTTTTTAGAATATTTTGATTAAATTAATATTAATGAAAAAATTAATTAATACATAATATTATCTAATACTATCTAATATCACATTAAAAAATTATTTAGAGATCAATTGTTATCATCGATTGGTACATAAATATAAAATAAAAATATTTTATTGACTGTTTTGATTGAATTTTGATGGTCTTTAAAATATACAAAAAAAGTCATGAATTATAAAAGACATCAATTTGTGAAACAATTTGGTATTACTTACCTTTAGAGGGCTTCGTTTTTTATATTGTTTTTAAAGGGTGTAAGGTTAGGAAGTGGGGGTGGGGTTAGATAGTAGTTTGTTAGGTAGGGGTAGTGTAGAGTCATATTATGATTAATATTTATTTTTGACTTCTAATGTCAATACAATGGAATGATTTCAAGTGTTTTTCCCAAAAATTTGTTAGATATTGATTGACATAACACTTAAATACATATTGAATACAATATTAACTCAATATCAATGAATGGCACGATTTGTATCAGAAAAAGCAAACACTTTAGACAATATCTGTTATAAAAATTATATGTATTGTAAACATATGTACTGTAATACTGTACTTAATTAATATATTTTTTACATTTGGTAAAACAAAGTATAGTTTATAAACTAAAACTAAATGCATTTTTATAATCAATTAAAAACTAAAAATTAATTATTTTTAACAAATATAAGCGATTTTATGATATATATAAAGTATTAATTAAATTAAGAAAAATCAAAATATAATTTCCCGGTTTTGTCATTTAAACTCCAGAAGATGCAAAACTCTAGATACAGTCTCATAGCATTCATTTCGACGAATGATTCAATATTATTCAATTCAAATTCAATATTATAATGATCCAAAAATATACTAAGACACAATTTTAATGAAAACAATTTTAATGAAAAATATCATTTTTTAACTAAACTAATAGGATACGAAATTAATAAATATGAAAATAATAAATTTAAATCATTGATAACTAAATCAAATAATTTTAATAAATTTTATAAATATGTTAAATGTATTTCTAGTGATGAAACTAATAAATGTTTTATTAATGATAAAAACGAGACAATAACTGATAATCAGTTAATAGTAGAAAATTTTAAGAATGAATTCATAAAATCATATAATAATAACACTAATAATAATTTTCAGAATATTGTCACAAATTTAAATAATAATTTATTTGAATTTGATTTATCTATGAATGATGTAATAAAAAGTTTTCAGAAATATAATTATAATTCATCACAAGGATTAACATTTATTGATAATATTGTACTAAAAAACTGTTTAAATGGTACTTCAAAATTAATTTATTTTTTATTTAACAAAATTTTATTTCATCAGCATTTTCCACGAAAATTAAAAATAATTGAAATTACACCTATAATTAAAAGTAATAAAAATAAGCAATTATTTAACTCTTACAGAGCTATTGGGGTTCAATCAAATTTATTTAGGATTTTTGAAAATGTTATTAATCAAAAATTAATACCGTATATTGAATTTAATAATATTTTACCCAATTGTCAATATGCTTATAGAACCAAAATAGGTCTAAAAAATTTTCATATAGATATGCAACAAGTAATTTGTAATGCTTTTAATAACAATATTGTTGGTATAGATATTATATTTTTAGACTTTTCTAATGCTTTCAATACTGTATCTCATGATATTTTAATGAAAAAACTTAAAAGTTATAATATACATGGTAAATTTTATAATATTTTATGTGATATTTTTAAAGATAGATACCAATATGTTAAATATAATAATCATAAATCAGATTTATTTAGTGTACAATCTGGTGTAATACAGGGTGGAGTTACATCAAGTGTTTTATTTAATCTATACATTTCAGATATTATACAAAATTTAAATAGTTATATTTTTAAATATGCAGATGATATTACATTAATCAAAATAATTAATAATAATAATGACTGTCATAAGTTACAATCTGATTTAAATTGCATTTCAAATTTTTGTATTATAAATCAGTTACAATTAAATATCAGTAAATGTGAATTTATGCGAATTTCAACTAAATCTACTGAAATAAATGATTACTTTATAAATTCTACTAAAATTAAAAATATAGATAATAACAAAAATGTAGGTATATTTTATGATAAAAATTTTAATTTTAATATTCACGTAAACTATATATACAACAAATGTATTAAAAAATTTGCAATTTTAAAAAATATTTGTAAAAAAGCTAGTGGTAATACCTTTTTAAAAGCATATCAAACTTATATTATACCCATAATTGAATATTGTAACCTATGTTTAGTATATAATTCAACACAATCTGAAAAAATTGAAAAAATTCAGAAAAAAGTGACAAAATATATCTGTATGCTAATGAATAAATTTAATTTATCATATTATGAAAGATTAAAATTTTTAGATTTAGAATCATTAGGTAAACGCAGAATTTTACAAAATTTGAAGTTATTTTTTAAAATAAAACTTAAAAACATTGATATTCCTAACAATTGGATAAACTGTGTTGAATTCTATAATACAACTAGACATGGGATAAAATGTAGAAAAACTGTTAATAGATTAAAAAGGTTTGATAAAAACTTTTTTGATTATAATGTAAATTTATTTAACAATTTACCACAAAATATTAGGGATGAAACAAATTATAACAAAATAATTAATTTACTTAATTGTTATTTTAAATAAATATGTAATTTTAAAATAATTTTAACATATTTTATTGTCAAATATTATTGTATATTATTATGAGAATATTGTATTTCATAACAAGTATGTGAAATAAAGATTATTATTATTATTATTATTATTATTATTTATAGACGAACGAGTGAATGAATTCGACGGTGAGATAAACAATTCGATGAATGCATTATTGAAATCGACGTATATTTTAAACAAGTATTTAGTAGAAATGTCTTACAATAATATACAAATAGTAGTTAAATTAATTAGAAATATTTTTTTATTAAGACATGAAAAATAAACAGATAATGTATTTTTAGAAAAAAAATACAAAAACATTTGTGTTTAAAATGAAAACAATAAGATTTTTTTTGTATAGTTTGTGACATTCAATATATACGTCGATTTCAATAATGCATTCATCGAATTGTTTATCTCACCGTCGAATTCATTCACTCGTTCGTCGATATTATTGACTCACTCGTCGAAATGAATGCTATGAGACTGTAACATACATATTATGAAACGTGGTTTGAGTTATATAACAGATAGTCATGAAAACAGGTTTGTCTGTTGGACACAGATTTGTCATTTGTTTTTAGACCACCGATACTATGTTTGTTGGATTCAATAGAAGTTATTTGAGATATAACATCAAACAACATTTGATTGCAAGTCTACAATCAATGTACTATTTGTATACAATGTATAATAAGAAAACATATCAATAACTCATTAATTCACTTGCAATCAAAAGTCGGGTTGTGTTATAACTCACATAACTTCTATTGGATCAAACGTAAAGGTGGACTAATAAACATATGACTAACCTGTGTTCACCAGACAAATCAGTGCCCACAGACAACAACTAACAGGTTTAGCCGTTGACTTCTTCTTCAGGCTTATGTGTTGACGCAATTACAGGTAGTGTTGTGAAAGTTTCTTCTTCTTCAGGTTTTGTTGACTGAATAACTGGTAGTGTTGTACGATGTCTTCCTCTTTAGGCTAATATGTTGAATAAATAACATTGTGATTTAATTGTTGAAGAATAATATAACTTTTACAACAATATGTGCATTTAGCCAACACATTAGTCTGAAGTAGAAGACAAAGTCAAAACCAGTTGAACACAAGTGTGAGATCCGTGACTGAAATGTTTGATTTTATATTGACCACAAATTTGTCATTTGTCTGTTGGCTACAGACTTGCCATTTGTCTGTTGGCCACAGATTTGTCATTTGTCTGTTGGCCACAGATTTGTCATTTGTCTGTTGGCCACAGATTTGTCATTTATCTGTTGGCTACAGACCTGCATTTGCCTGTTGGCCACAGATTTGTCATTTGTCTGTTGGCCACAGATTTGTCATTTGTCTTTGTCATTTGTCTGTTGGCCACAGATTTGTCATTTGTCTGTTGGCTACAGACTTGTCATTTGTCTGTTGGCCACAGATTTGTCATTTATCTGTTGGCTACAGACCTGCATTTGCCTGTTGGCCACAGATTTGTCATTTGTCTGTTGGCTACAAATTTGTCATTTGTCTGTTGGCCACAGATTTGTCATTTGTCTGTTGGCTACAGACTTGTCATTTGTCTGTTGGCCACAGATTTGTCATTTATCTGTTGGCTACAGACCTGCATTTGCCTGTTGGCCACAGATTTGTCATTTGTCTGTTGGCTACAAATTTGTCATTTGTCTGTTGGCTACAGATTTGTCATTTGTCTGTTGCTACAGATTTGTCTGTTTGGCTGTTGGCACAAATTTGATTTGTCATTTGTCTGTTGGCTACAAATTTGTCATTTGTCTGTTGGCTACAGATTTGTCATTTGTCTGTTGCTACAGATTTGTCTGTTGGCCACAGATTTGTCATTTGTCTGTTGGCTACAAATTTGTCATTTGTCTGTTGGCTACAGATTTGTCATTTGTCTGTTGCTACAGATTTGTCTGTTGGCCACAGATTTGTCATTTGTCTGTTGGCTACAGATTTGTCATTTATCTGTTAGCCACGAATTTAATAATAAGATTCAGTTCGCTATTAATTACAAATTAAGAGATAATTAAGAATATATGTTATGTGTTGACAAGTTTTGTGAAAGTTTGTATGAGTGAGTGCCCGTGCACTAGTAGTGTGTGCTGTATATATATATGGATCTAGATGTTGACATCGCTCATCATTACCCGATGTTCATCACCGAAATCACCGGCATATCACAGACCACTGTTTACCAAGTGTTCAGGAAGGGAAAGGGGTCCAAAATAATCCTGGTTTTGGTCGATCTCCAATTTTGCCAGTAAACGATAAACAACGGCAACCGAATTGGCCAATAAGAATCCCATGTCTCACGTGATATCAATCCAATTAAGATCTTTGGTAGCTTATGAAAGATGCATTAGAAAATGTCACCTAACGCTCCATCGACCACTGGATGGATAAAATTGAGGAGATATGGAAAACAGTGGCACTAAAACATTTAGAGAAGTTAATCGGATGTATGAATTCGCTATTAGAAGTGTTTTTCGGTCAATGCAAGAAAAATTAATTATTAAACTTCAATATTTAGTGATTTAATATATTTATACTATAATGTGAAATATTATTTATTTTATTAATATTATATTATAATTATTATTACATATTCAATAAATATTAATTTTAAACAATATTAAATAATTCTCATTCTTTTTGCACTTATCTTTAGTATAGACTTAAGGGTACGACTAAACCATCTTTTGATGATTGAGTAGACATTTATTAATTTATTCAAAACTCAATAATATTATTAATGGAATTATATTTTTGAATTAATTTGAGTTTATTTTTTTCTCATCTAAAAATAATAACATTTATTGAAATAATTTATTTTATGAATCGGACTATTGATTGTCTGGTTTTATTTAAATCATTGTTTGTTTTAATTTATGTAAAATAGTATAACATTTACTTATACTATATTTTATTAATTTATTACATTAATAAAATAATTATTGTTGAGTTTTGTCATCATAACTTTATAATTACAATAATTTTATATAAATAAAGTATTTTAAAGTAGTTTAAAGTAACTAAATTTTCACAATTTGATAATTTTTAAAATAATTATATAAAAAATGATTAAGATTTTATAACTAATTAATATTTTTTTAATAATAAATATCACCAATAAATTTTCATGATAACTTTTATTAATAATGTATAATAATTAATTTGTAATAATTATTATTTTATAGTTTATAATAATTAAATCGTGAGGTAGACTAAAATTATTATTAACTAAATTAACTTATTATTAAATTATTATGATTTTCAACTATTTTGAAATATCAATTGAAAACTTTTGTATTGAATATTATTACAATTATGTATTCAATATAATTAAAAAAACGGAAAATTTAATAAATTTGTGATTGTATTGTAGCGCGTGATGCGTGTCATTCATTGATTGTTCAGAAATAAAAAACTTTTGGTAATTCAAAAAAAAAGGTTTACTTAACGGTTTGCAATTGACTGAAAAAAGTATATCAGAAAAAAACGAGAACAATATCAACAAAATGGAGCAATTAATGGGAACAAGTAGTCAAATGACCAGTAAATCGTTTTTCGAGTCAAAGACAATCTATGAAAGAGATAATATGTTGACATCTGTTTACGACCAGCTCTGTCACGACGAATGGTTTACCAAAAAGCTAACAGAAGTTCAACGAATTCAATATCTATTAACCAGTGTTTGGCCGTTGGCTTCGGCTCGTCATTGGACCTATCAATTGGCCACCGATTATGAGCACTTTCACTGCAAGTCGACTGAAAGATCGGCTCAATTTCGGATTCAGGCCGACAGCTGTATAGCGAATAACGATTATCAATCGGCTCTCATTTTCGCATCAAAAGTAAGTCATTAATTATAATCATTAAAACTGATGGCCTGTATTAACAAATCTGTATTTATTGTCTATTATTTTGTTTGTTTGTAGTCCATAATGAGTGCTCCATTTCCATCCGATATGAACGGCCAGTCCAACCAATTAGCCATTGCTTACGGCTACCGATCGCTTATCAATTATCTGGTCTACGACTTTGAGATGGCATTGTTTGACGCCGACAAATCCATCCAGTTTTGGGAGACATACGATATACTTATCCACAAAGTCCAGTGTCTGCAACAACTGAAACGTTTCGATGAAGCCATTGCTGTCATTGACTACATTCAGTCAAATTCATTTCTGAATGAATCCGCAGAGAAGAACACTTATGAAGAATTGGCAAAATTTAGACATCAGATACAAGAAGAATGGAATTTGTTTAACGGCGGACACAAACTGATCGCTAAAGAGATGGGATCAACTGTCAAAAAGTCTGGCCTAAAGAATGCAGAAGACTTACAGGACTTAGAAGAATCCGTACCCTTTTGGTTGCATCCGAATTGCCAGTTGAAGATCAGTGACAAAAAGGGCCGATATATGGTGGCCAGTGAACCGATACCAATGGAAAGTATTATTTTAGTGGAACGACCGATAAGTAAAATACTATACTATCAGAGTATCAATCACTGTACCAATTGTTTCAAATATATTGGCAATCGATTCATACCGTGTCGGGGATGCGATGAAGTGATCTTTTGTGACGAACAGTGTTACGCCAAAGCATACAAAAGCTATCATCAGTACGAATGTGGTATTACTGGTCTCTTACTTGAGCTCAACAGTGCCTTTCTTCACACATATCGTATGTTCAGTCGATTTGGTCACAAAACGAGTGTCCAATCTCTCAAAGAAGGTCATCAATTTGATTATCACGAGCACATAGCAAACCAACAGATGGCAGACAAGACATCTAACGACTGGTCTTTACCCGAAAAGTTCCCAAAAAAATCAGATGAGAATGAAAAGCAAATATACAAGTCTTTTATGGGCCTCTCAGACAACGGATCAAAGTTTGAGCCAACTCTTGCACTCTACCAGAGTTTTCGGGCCATCGATTGCGCACTATTGTTGAATTGGCGGAGACTGTTAGACAAGAATTTCAACAGTCACAGCATCAAAGAGTTTGCCAAATTGGCGCATCAATTGGCGACAATTGTGCGCAAAGTCAATGTCAATGTCTTTGGCTGGAATGGTACGGATCCGGCGGTTAAAGGCATGCATAAAGCCTCTGCCGTTTGTGTAATGACTTCGCTGATTAACCACAGCTGCGAACCCAATGCTTTTTGGCATATCTCAGACAACGGTCTCATGACCTGCAAAGTCATTCGCAATATTGAAGCCAACACAGAGATCAACGTCACATACGGACCGTCAGTCTATACGACATCGTTCATCGATAGACAGAAGCGCTTGAAGTTAGTCTACTTCTTTGACTGTAACTGTTGGTCATGTCTTCGCCAGTCTGGTGAAGAATTGAATATCCGGTGTCGACAATGTAGCGGACCGTTGATCTGTACATACATTTATCAAAATCAGCCGATATGTTGTCTTCGTTGTGGTCAACCCATGCATGACTACCTCGATGTCTACTCTAAAGTCGAAAAAAATAAGATTCAATTCGACAATTCGATAACCAAATTGAATGCCGATTGGAGCGACCAGTCGGCTGTTTTCAGCGCTGAACAAGCTCTAAGCAAACTGTTAACCTTAGTATCAATGGACAGTTATCCACTGATGGCTCGCATCTGTAGTTTGGTCCAATATTTCGCCTCATGTCAGCAATATTTTAAAGTCATCCAATACGGCCAGTACTTTGCATGGCGTTCGGACATAATGGTGGACGACCTGTTCCTATGGGTGCAATGGTACTACATTTACATCAAAAGACAACCGAAAAAGTCGATCAGTGACCAGCACTGGAAGGAGGCGTTCAGATTTTACCAATTGTTGGTCTCAGAGTTGAAACATCAGCGGACAAAGGCATTAGAGGCACAATCGGCAAAACCAGTGGACAATTGCATGAGTAGTAGTAGTCAGACGTTGTTGTCATCAACAAACAGCCGTACTCTCGATGGTGACGATGACCACAATAGAGTTAGCACATGCTCTTCGGCCGATCAAACCATTGCTATCATTGATAGCCAACTGAATCGGGTCTACAATGAATACCAAATGCTATACAACATTGGCTACAAAGCTATTACTACTACACCATCAGTAAAGTCTGTTTCTAAAGAGATTCAGTAATTAGCGTAAGAATTGTAGATCTGTTTGTTACCAAACTTATGGCGCAAACAAAGTTATTATTTTTTTAAAAAAGTAAAGAAAGAAAATAAAAAGTTTCAAACTTTAACAAAATTTAGTATTTTTTGTACGTTTTGACATTAATAAGCTATTTTCTCCCGATTTTTATCCAATCAGTATAATCTCTAATAATAGATTGTCATTAAACAAAAAATTAATTAATTGATTAATTTTAATGAAATGCTTAAAATAATTACAATACTAAATGTTACTGTAATTTTTAAATATATGAAGCTATCTATTAATAACATGAGTTTTATATATTTAAGTTTTACTAATATTTAGGATTTTTGCATTGATACGAGCTTTAATAATTATTGTAATTAATTATTAATAATTTTGAATTTTGAAAAAACCCTCAAAAAATTAATACTTAAATTATAATCTAAAATGTTATTACAACTAATTTCTGTCATTAGTTTATGTTTTTCTAATAAATTCAATCAAAAACAATATAAATTTCGACAACAATTCCAAAGAAATATCGGTATTGGCCTAAAATGTGTTCATTTAGTTGATAATATGCCATCAATTAATGATATTATGAAAACTGGATGGACTAATCTAGTATTAGTTTTAAATTTTGGCCACAATTTGAATAATGGATATTATGATGTCGGTGTCGGATGTGTTATCGACACATATAATGGTTTGGTTATAACCAATAGTCATGTGGTCGGTGGTCTAAATGAAGTATACATTCAAAACAATTGGTACCAAACGGGACGTGTGCCGGCACGTGTAGTATACGTCGAAACAAGACGCGATTTGGCACTATTGCAGTTGTCTTATCCCAAGTTTACAACTCGGATAAGCAGTCAGTTTACGTTAGCCGCCAAAGATCCCGAGTTTGGTGATCAAGTAATTAGTTTTGGTTATCCCGTAAACATTACTCCGCATCCCGGCTGTGCTTTTGGTCTAATTTGTTGTCCACAGTCTTTAGAAAATGAAAGCTTTTGTCCAACTTTTATCCAACACTATACAGGTATCACATATGGCTATTCTGGAGGAGCACTGGTCAATGAAATGGGTCAGTTAGTTGGTGTCAATCAAAGTGGAAACATTATTTTTCACATTGATTATGCAACCACTTGTCTTGACTTAATTGGTATTTTTTTTGATAAATAACAGTTATTATAATTATTAATAATTTGTATTTAATTTTGATTTTATATGATTACCCAAAGAAATTCTTGATAGTAGTGATAAATTTTTTCATAATATGGTAAACAAACAAACATTAATAGCATTAATGACCACTAAATTAATTATATAGATATAAAAAAAATTATTTAATTTATTATATAAATAGGCTGCTTATAAATTGCTTAAAAAATCTTTCAATAAAGCTAACCATACATTTAGTAATCGACCAAAACTGGGAGTCGAGATCAAATGGTTTAGACAAATAGATCTAATAGATTATCATCGAAATGGTAAACAAGAGTTTGGAGGATTTGTTTGGCCACAACATTTCAATGGCAATGGTATACTTGTATGGAATTTATATCAACCGACAGGAGGAAAGTTAGTTTTTAATAGAGTCAAAGATTAACAAAAAAAATTTTTTTTAATAATTTGTTGTCGTTTTTCTATATATTTTTTTCTTAGCCAAAATTTACGTCAATTTGATATTATTACTAAAATCAATGATAAAGAGATTACATCAATGGATGAATTTTTGCGTTTAATTCATAATAGTTTCGGCCATACGTTAAAAATGACTGTCCATAGAGTTGACACTAAAGGCTATACACATGTTAACACTGAATGTATACTTCAATCGTTTTGTTGGGCCTAAAGTTTGGGACACAAAATGCTATATTTTAAAAATGTTTTAAAATATGTAAAGCAAACCATAAGATATGTACAGATATTTAGTTAATATAAATTTTATTATTTATATTAAGGTTTATTATAATTTATTATTAGAAAACATTTAGTAAAAACTATGATAAATAAAAAAACTGATATTAATTTGAAAATTAAATTGAAATATGAAAACACATAAATATTTTTTTGTTCAAAATAACAAAATATTAATACAAATAATTGTTTTAAACTATAAGTAATAATACAACAAATATTGTTCAAATAAATTAGTTAGCATTTTGTAGACGTTTCTCAACTTTTAGAAACATGTTTTTAGTTGTCATTGAACCCACGTTATCATAAAATTTAATCGGTTTCTGAAACAACAAAAAAATAAGCAAAAAAAATTAATTAATAATAAATTGATTCAATTCAAATTCAATTAATATTGATTATAATCTATATACTGTATACAGTATACATACCCCTGTGTCGTGAAACTTATATTTATGTACAGCCGATACAAGAGCCAGTTTGATGACCATCTGTGCCAATCGCATACCAATACAATTACGAGGTCCGGCACCGAATGGCAGATAAGCGTAGGGATGGTGTTCTACGTTTGACGCCATAAACCTCTCTGGTTTGAACACTTCAGGATCGGTAAAGTTTTCCGGATCGCGATGAATGGCAAACGTTGGGATATGAACTATACCACCCTTTTTAATGGTAATACCGGTTTCGCCTAATTTGTAATCATCATTGGCTTCTCTTTCGAGAAACAATGCAATCGGATATAAACGTAAGGTTTCATCAATGATTGCATTCAAATATTTCAATGAATGTAATACATCATAATCAACATCTGTCTGTAATTTATTTTTTTATATTTAAAAATATGATTAAAGTAAAAGTTTATTCAATATCTAAAACTTTATAATATAATACCTGATTGTGATGTTTAAAATAGTGGTCAACTTCTTCGTATAGCTTTTGTTGACATTCAGGATATTTTGCTAACAAATATGTAACCATCGATAGTGTTGTAGCGTTTCCCTCATAACCGGCAATAAAAAATAGCACACATTGAGCGATAAATTCATCATTTGTCAAATCTATCAATTAATTTTGAAATTTTTGTATTAAACGGTATTCAAAATTATTTTATAAAAAAATATTAATGAAAAAAATCATACATTTCTCAAACTTTTCGGTTGATTTCAATTCTCTATACTTTTCTCTGTCAATCAAGTTTTCATTGATGTCTTCATTTTCTTTATCATTGTTTATATCGCTATTTTCAATCGACTCTAACATTAATTGTAAAAAATCATTTCGTTTTATATCTGTAAGTTGGGTACGACTTCTGCGATCTTCGATAATCTTAAGGGTAAAGTCAGAGAAAAATTTTGACGCATTTTTGTCAAAAAGCGTTAAATTAAAATATTTTGCCAAATAAGGTGCGAATATGAATAGGAAATATTGATAATCAAATTTGCGGCGAAAAAACTTTTTAGCATTTTCTATGATAGGGTTGTTCTTGTCATACAAAGCGTCCACTTTTGTACCGAAAGCTACTTGTATTATGACTTCCATACTGTAAGTGCCAAACACTGTCTTGACATCGGATCCGGTTTTGCCTAACGATATTGTATTGAAATTTTTATCCATTGTTTGCAGACATTCATTGATCAATGGTATCATTTTCTTAAGTTTTCCGGTTGTAAATGTCGTCGACATAACTGTTCGCACTCTTTTCCATTTGTCATCTTTTATTAGAGTCACCATATTATCACCCAATGGATCAGATCCGGTAGTCAAGTCCTTATCAATAAATTTTCATTGAATATATAGTATTAATAAATTTATTAATAATAATAATTATTATTATAAATACTCTTCTGTTTATGAAATTATGAAAATCTTTAACCAAAATATCGCGAATCAAATCGGGTTCCGCCAGATATAGTACGGGTCGTGTGGATTCATAGACACCAAAAAGTTTACCATATTTTGTGTAGAGATCCAGTTCCCACTCGAACAACATTTTAGTCATCCTCGACCACAATCCAACTGATCCTGTTTTAACACCTTGTGTTTCCCAATATACACATTTTGATGTATAATATCTTTTATTTTTGAAAAAAACTAATTATTAATATTGTAATTTTTTTTTATTTTATTACCTGTAAATTGTATACAAAGATATAATAACAATAGCAATGCCATTAATTAGTGAATGTGATAATAAGTTTAGTAAAAATTGAAACATTTTTTATAAAATTATAAAAATTATTATATTAAATAATTAAGTTTTAAATTATATAATTCAAAAACTTAATTACTAATTCAAACTTAATAACTGATATAATATCAGTTTTTATTATACTGTATTAATATTTATAGCTAAGATTATATAATTTTTCAAACTTTAATTACTATTTATATATAATTAAAAAATGAAGGTTATTTTTGTATCATTTTATATAATAACAAAATTTTTATTTAAATACATCTAAACTGACATTAAACAGGACATTGAAATAATTGTCAATATTGTAGACTTTTAACATTTTTGTTAAATTTGAAGTTTATTTATCATATTTATTTCAAATCACTAATCATTGAAAAAAATAAACTTAATGCACTATGACTACAGTATAACAAACAAAAAACACACTTTTATTTAAAAATAAATAAATAATTATCATGACATTATAGACATTTTACTGTTACAGTATTTAATATTGATATTTATGTATTTTTTCACATACTATTATCATATTAGACTTAATGCACCCAATGATAAAAATTTATTTACATCAATATTTGTTTGCTGTATAATGTCGGTCACAATCAATCAAATATTACAAAACCGAAAAAATAGGAAAAAAATTTAATTAAAAATCACTCCCAAACCCCAACTCATCCAATCTAACCTAAAAACATAGATATATATATAGTAGTGGTTTTCAATGGATTTAATCAAAATCAAGACACGAGAACCTGTAAAATATCAGAATTTAATGACAACATAATCACCAGTAATAAAGACCGACAGAATAATTGGGAAAATTCTAAAAAACGAGAATTAGTTTTAATTAGTCCGAGAAAAACACAATAATATTATTTAAGTTTTCGACTATTTTATTATTCAGGAAAAAATAGATATGTTTTGCTGTTATATTGTTTTATGAAGTTTGCTAAACAGGGATTAGTTAAATATCAGATGATTGTTAAAAAAATCCAGTTAATTATTATCTAAAAAAGATATAGACAACTGTCCGAAACTAAAACAAAATTATATTAATATTTCAGAGATACGGTCTATTGTTTACAGTATTTGCATAATAATAAACAAATTACAATAATTGATTTTTTTATCTTTTGTCATATAATTTATTAATACAAACTTAACTATTAATATATTTAAATATTATATGAATACAATATTAGTTTTAATTAAGTTTTTTTTATTATTAAATACATTACTCTGTAAACTTGTTTTGACTGATCTATTCAATGTAAATGCAAAAACATATAATTATAATATAATTATTTTATTTATTACTACTATTAAAGTACATTATTTTTTATATAAAAGTCAAATAAAAATATCATTTAGTAATGAAAATCTAAAATTTACTAAAAATTTTTTTGACTATAAATCCATTGATTTTATTTTGTCGTTAATTACATCAATTCATTCATAATCAAATCATTACTTTCTTTATTATTATTATTATTGTCATTATTTGTGGTGACATTATCTGTCAAATCTGTATCATATTTATTGATTTCGTTGTTTACGATATCTTTTTCATCATTCATTGGCAATGATTTAATGTCTTTATTTGTTTGCATTTCAGTCACTTTATCGTCAGATGTTGTCTTAATTTTGGTAATAATGTCATCATTTTTATAATTTAATTGTTTTGTATTTAACTGACGATTTTTGATGGCTAACCGTTCATTAATATCGGTAAAGTCGACGGCAATTATGAATAAACTTTTGATATTATAGTAATCGTCGACTTTGATCACTGATATGAGTTCCTCTTCATTGGTCTCATTGATGACAACTTTTCCATTGATAATGTGTTTCAATAAGCGATCATTTCGTAAATATTTGACTTCATTTTGATTGTGATTTAGTTGATAATTACCCACTAATTTGATATCCAATACAGTATTATCATTGCCGGTGCTCTTCAAACATATATTGTATGAAACGATACCTGATTTACAATCCAATGATTCATTGATTTTGAGTTCAGACTCTATTGAATCCAAATTGATATTCAAATTTGTCCCAAAACTATGCAATGGCTTTGACATTGCATTTATTATAATAATTGTATTTTAATAATTTAGTAGTAATAATAGCAAATGTTTTTTTAAGGAAATTATCGGTAAATTAATGTAACATAAAAATAAACATTTAATTCAAAATCAATTTAAATAATAAAATCTCGTGAATAAAATATTATAGGTATTGAAATCTCAATATAGGTTTTAATAATTTTAAAACAGTTTATTAGTAAAAACAAATCAATTTGATATTACTTTGAATGACAAAATATTTTATTATCAAAATTGATGTAAATGTAAAAATACTGAAAACAAATTATCAAAACTATTAAGAAACTTAAAACTAAATCTGAAAACTGGCTAACAGTATGTCCATTGATAATAACAATATATATAAAAAAATTATTGAAAACATTTGTTAAATCGCGAGTTGTTATCCATTATTGTATAATTCACGAGTCAAATAAAAAAACAAATATTTAAATACTGTATTTGTAATTATATTTATAAGACATATAAAAATCAATTCATTTATTCATTAATTTTTTTGTAATCACTATTTTAAACAAAAATTTTATTAACACTAAAATAATGTCACAATCAAAGACACAAAAACCAGTAAAACCTTTAGTGACAGCTACTTCTTCGCCAAAAAAACAAACAGAAACAGAATCCAAAAACCAAAAGATTCAGACAAATAGTGGTAAAACTGGTGAAATAAAGACAACAAAAAAACCGACTAAATATTACGATGCGGTCACTGATATGCGCGCCATTGATGCCAACGAAAAGATTTTGTTTATTAAAAGCTCATTCAATATAGCATTCAAAGACCATTTCATACAGAAGTTTACTGATCGAGATCTGTGGCGACTGTTTATCGGTTCATTTGGATGCGCTCTGTTTGTTGGCTACAACTGGACATTGATGGCTATCATAACATTCATATCGCTGTTAGGCTCTTATATTCAACGGCAAACCTATGAACGGACAGAAGCTTACGAGTACTGTCGGCAAGAGTTGATCAAAGATCCCGAACGATTGCATTCATTCTTGATGTCCATAACGTCGCCAAACGAGACAAACATCGGTCGGGCCAACGATCAGCCGTGCGAATGGATTAACGATATTCTGTCAAAATTCTGGCCAAATATCAATAGTATAGTTCAGTCACAGATTGACAATCAAGGGTTTGGCGAAAAATCTGTAGAACTAAGCGGTAATAACATGTACTTCGAACGGTTCACTTTGGGCGACAAACCGCCAGTTTTGTCGAGTATTCACGTTCGCAAAAGTGGTCACCGAAAGGATGAGATAGTAGTGATAGTCAGACTCGTCTATTTCGGTAATTGTTTGGTACTCTTCAGCTACAGAACAACATTGGGTTTGAAAGCCAAGGCTGGTGTCAAAGATGTCTTCTTTCGGGGCAATGCTGTCATTGTGTTGCGACCACTGCTAGAAGTGCCGCCATTTATCGGCGGTATATCGGTTTGTTTGCAGGACATACCTATCATTGAATACGATGGTCTCAATTTGGCTAACATTGCCGACAACAAGTTATTCAAGCGAGTCCTGTTAAACATTATCTCATCATATCTGGTGTCACCCAACAAGATATTCGTACCGTTGATCGACAACGTAAACATCAAACGCGAACTCAAATATCCGCAACCGATTGGTCTGTGTTTTGTTGAGATTATTGAAGCCGAAGATTTGCCACAAATGGACGCACATCGGTGTCTAGTATTTTCCGGTGGAACCGATTCTTATTGTAAACTAAAGATCGGTAACTATGCCTTCAGTACACAAATTGTCTACAACTGTATGAATCCGTATTTTGGCGAAAACTTCAGTTCACCCGTTCATGACTTTAATGATTATCTGGTGATAGAAGTGTACGACAAGGACGCCGTCAGTTCGGATGACTTTATGGGTTGTATACGAATCAAACTGTCAGAAGTGGGCCGAAACAGGAATCTTAACGGCAAAGACAAGTGGCTACCCATTGGTCAGTCGCCGTCGGGTTCGTTGCACTTTCGGGTAGCGATATTCGAGTTGAGTAACAATAAACGAAACATACAGAAGATGACTATAGCGGCCAAAGAATCATCAGTTTCGATACCGATCGGCATTTTATCAGTATTTGTTCACTACGTACGCAACATATCGACCACTGATGAAGAATTTGACTTAAAACCAGTCGTCAAACTCAAGTTTTCCGATCAAAATTATATGACAAAGACATCAAAATCACCGAAAAAAGGTTTATTTTATTTCGAAGAGTGCGTCGACTTTTTGTGTTACGATTTTGCCAAAGAGTATCTCACAGTTTCCGTCATCTGTCAGGAGATGAAGACATTGACTTTTGTCAAAGTGTTCGGTGAATGCAGTGTTGCCCTCAAAGACATTGTCCTGAAGACCAAAAACATGTCGTTTAACAAAGAGTTTCCCATCAAAAGGATTCTCAAACTGAAAGACGTAACAGAAGTGAAAGACACGGGTATTATCAAAATCTATGTCTGTCTTAAAGTCTGTAAATATCGACACAAAGTGATTGAAAATCTGAAGATACCGTCCAATATTCAGGCAAACATTGAGGAAACAGTAGACAACGCAACCTCTTTGACCAAACTATACAGAGAGCCCATCAATACAGCAAAGAATCCGTTTCAAAGTATACGACTGATTGCCAATAAGTTATCGTTGGGACCGCCAAACAAGTCTATAGTGGCCGGAGATATAACAAAAGTTATGCCACAAATAGATGAAAACTGTTGGGTGAAAATGCGGGTCAAATGGCCGGACAGGAATGCCATACACGTAGAAGTACTCAAATTAGTTCAGTTGCCACTCGATGTGGTCGAACGTAGCTATAAATACACTGTTTGTGTCCGACTTGGACTACAACAACAACAACAGGAAATACCAAAAAATAAGTCAAAAGTTGTCGACAATAACAACACCAATAAATCCAAAAGTAAGAAAAAAACAAAGAATTTGAAGACCAAATATACGAGTAAACAGCCTATTATTAACCACTCGACAACCATTGCGTTCAATGAAAGACTGATATTCAAGATATCGTCACTAAATAATATCGACGATCACGTACTGGAAGTGTTTCTGGTGACATGTAATCCGCGCCGATTTGTTGCCACCACTTATGACTACAGTTTTGTAGCGTTTTGTCCACCGATAGACATACCGAAAGTTGAGTTCAAAGGCGACCCAATTGAACAGTGGATGCGATTGCAATTGTATCCCAAATATAAAAAACAATTTGTTGTTTAAAAAATATTTGAAATCAAATTTATTTTATTTTATAAGCAATTAGAAGAAACAAATAACTACACAATATTTTATTTAATTTGTTTTTACTAAATAATTCAACATTTCTTAATATAAGTTAATATACAATATTAAAAACATTATTTATTTAAAAAAAACTAATATTAATATATCAGATTTTTTTCATTGGAATTTTATAATAATATACTAAAAGAAAAATATATATAATATAATAGTTCAATATTTTTACTATAATTTAAGAGATATATATTGATATTATATTTATTGCAACAAAATAAACGACAATAAATCAAATATCCTGTTATTTTTAAAACATGTATTATTGTGATCTATATAATTAGTAAAACATTTCCGTTTAACATTAGATTAATATGATAATTATTATTAATAAATAATAAAAATAATAAAAATAATGATTAAGAATCATATTATTCTATATTTATTATATTTGTATATAATTTTCATAAATATTTTTTATGTAATTAGTGTTAATGATATTGAATTATGTGGTCAATTAGCAGTACCTCCCGGTTCAGTTTATCATTTTAGATATAGTAACAAATCTGATGAATTCAATAATACTGTCAAAAATACTGACTTTAGTTTATCAACAAATAAATTAGAAGAAAATAATTTAATTGTTGAATATAAATGCAATAATAGTCTTAATATATTAGTTGGTAATTCAATACGGAAATGTATTGGCGGTTATTGGGTGGGTAGTGTTCCCCGTTGCGGTAAATATCATTTTTTATGTATTATTTTGATTTTACATCAATAAAAAATAATTGCATTAATGATATTATTTAGCCATCAACTATGTCGACGACCCATATCTAACATCAATTGAGTTTACAGCCGACGACTCCATACTTCCCAACTCCAAGTCTAACATTACAAAAATATATAACTCTGAAGGCGCTTATACTCCACCCGGACGGTCACCGGCCAACTGTATCGGTTGGCTCAACTCGGGTGACGATACGTTTATGTTTGAATTGTCCAGAGCTGTCGAAATACATTATTTGAAATTTAAGTTTTATGCCAACAATATTAAAGATTATTGGATTAAAAATGAATTGATAATAACGGCAACACTTAACAAATATTTTAAAGAGAACTGTCATATAATAAGTGTCAATCATTTTGACGAAGACAACGAAGACAATCCTAATTATTTTAATGTCGAGTTTCAATGCAATAATAATCATAATATCTATGATATAGTTGTGCTTAAAATCCAAATACTTAAGGAAACATTTTCTCAAATATTGATTTTTAATATTTGTGACCTAAGGGTATATCATTTTGCTGAGACATGCGGTCAACCAGACATAGCAAACACGATGACAGTCAGCGTTAATAATGGTAACTATGATTATCAGTGTAACGATAGCCAACATTTTTTAGATGGCGTTTCACGTGTTAAATGTGATTTGTATGGGAAATGGAGTGACGACTTTCCCCAATGTATACCGAAGTCATATTGTAAAACACTAGCAAACTATCATTACGAAGAAACAGTAGATGTTGTCTACGAGTTAGTTATGCATCAAAAGTCTGGTCAGAAATATATTCCCGAAGGAATGTCAGCATATTTTTCATGCAATACATTACAAAATAGGACTCTCTTAAGCAATGAAACCCAATATGTGTTGAGAGGACTTCAGTCAGTGGAGTGCCTATCAGGTGAATGGAAAGGTCTAACAAACCATACGAAACCCAAGTGTGTACTCGAAGTTATCAATAAAGTCAATACAGACAGTATGTCTGTGTCTTCTTTTATTATTTACATACTATCGGGTATACTATTACTGTCGTTAACAGTCATACTATGTCTAAGCGGTTATACAATCAGTGCTCAAAAGAGACGGCGCCGTCAGTTGACTGAAGTGAAAGCTAAAAAACTAAACAAAACAGAAGAAAATCTGTATGATATCTATAATGATAATAATATATACGATGATTGTATCGATAATAATAATGATAACAATTACGAGCAAATATATGTTGATAACTATGAAAATGTTGATAACTATGAAAATGCTAATAACTATGAAAATGATGATAACTATGAAAATGTTGATAACTATGAAAATGCTAATAACTATGAAAATGATGATAACTATGAAAATGCTGATAACTATGATGTTTATAATGATAAACGTAATGTTTATGAGAGTCCAGTAGATGATAAAGATCTTTATAATGAATTGGATAAAACATTCAAAAAATATTTATCAATTACACCGACATATTTTGAAATGGCATCTTCTAATAAAAATTAGTTGATTTATATTAAATATTTAAATAATAATTAATTAAAACTCTATGATTATCTATGATTATCATTTAAAACTTTGAATAATTATAAGTCTAATACTTAGACATTGCTTTATAGCCAAAATAAAAAGTATTTAAATGTAAGTTCTATATATGAAAAATAAATAATTTTATATAAATATTATATTAAATTTTATAATCTAATATTTATAAGAATTTATATAATAATATATAAAAATAAGTTTTTTTTTATTTACTACAGTGTTTATCAATAATTAAGTTTTATCCGTTAACATTAACACATCCTGACATTATTTGTTAAGGCCATTGTATAAAATATTTTTTAATACTAATTTTTCATTTAAATATTTAATATTATATCCTTTAAATACCTAAAAAGTAAGTTATTAATTATGTCGACAAACTACTGTAAATTAAAGTTTATTTTTAATTATAAAAATTATTTAATTATAGTTATATTAATACTAAAAATATATTATACTGAATCAATTGTGGATTACAATAATAGTTATTGTGGACAGTTTGCATTACCTCCTGGTTTATCCTATAGTTTGACTAATAATAATAATAGTATTATTTTTAGTGATAATAATAGTGATATTGTTTTATATTCACTTGAGTTATACAAAAACAATACAATAGTTTCGTACAAATGCAGTGATGAACTCAATGTATTAGTCGGTAATACTAAGCGGGAATGTATTGGTGGATATTGGACGGGTAGTGTCCCGCGTTGTGGTAATTATATTAATAAACTATTATTTTATTTATTAAAAAATATATAATTTCAATCTAGCTATCAATTACCGTAATTCAACACATTTAACAACCATAGAGGCAATGACTTATGACTACACACTACCTTCGTTTAAGTATAAGCTTAATGATGTGCATAACGATCAGGGAGTCTATACAGCTACCGGTCGGGCACCGGTTAACTGTTACGGTTGGCTTATTGCAAAAAGTAATGATAGTAAAATTATATTTGAATTATCATCGGGTGTGGAAATACATTACTTGCGTATCCATTTGTATGCCAATAATATCAAAGAACTTTATATCAATAGTGATATCATACCGAGTATAACACTTAATGAATATTTTGCTGAGGACTGTAAGATAACAAATGTCCATTTCCTCGACGATGACAATGAGGACAGTCCCGATCATTTGACAGCAGATTTTGAATGCATTAATAATCACTATCTTTACGATAGCTTTATGTTTAAAGTACAGTTCACAACAAAAAGTCATTTTTCACACGTACTGCTGATTTATATGTGTAGTATACGTATCTACCATTTCCCGCAAGAGTGTGGTCAACCAGATATACCAAATAATATGAATGTCAGTACAATTAATCGTCACATTGATTACCAATGCAAAGATAGTCAGCATCTATTAGATGGCAATTCACAAATTAGATGTAATACATATGGAAAATGGTTGGATAACTTTCCTCAATGTATACCCAAATCTTATTGTAAACTATTAACAAAAGATAGTTATGACGAATCTGTTGATGTGGTCTATGAGTCGGTTATAACGGGAATAACGGGACAGAAATATATTCCCGAAGGAATTTTTGTTAATCTTTCGTGCAATACATTACAAAACAGATCTCTTTATAGTAATGAAACCCAACTTGTAGTGCAAGGTCTTGACAGAGTTGAGTGCCGGTCGGGTCAGTGGACGGGTCTATCAAATCATACAAAACCCAAGTGTATGATTGAATTTATCAACAAAGATGAGATCAATGCGCCATCAGTTTCCAGATTTATTATTTACATATTATCATCAATTCTAATATTTTCTGTACTGATTATAATGTGTTTAATTTGTTATACAATAAGAGCCCAAAACAATAAGCGCCGAAATTTAGCAAAAAATAAAAAACAATTCAATGAAGACAATGTTTACGATATGTATGACAAAGCATTTGACGATAAAGACTATTACGATGACATCAGACATGATGTTAATGAGACTACCGGTGCTTACGATGAACTATACGATTATGCTTATCCACAGATTTACTTTAATAGTGATGACAATATCGATACAGTTAATGTTAATGCAAATTATTTATACATAACTGAATCGTATTATTATGATATGAAAACTGCTTTATAATTGTTTATTTATTTAGCAATTTTATGTTTATTTATTTGAATTAAATTTGTAAATAATTAATTTTAAAAATTAAAAAAAACTTCAGATATATATTAAATTATAATATTATTGTTTGCAAAACTCGTATTATTGTGATATTACTGCCATATATTAATATTTGTTTATTTAATTAATAGATAAATAATTTTTAAAAAATAATATAAATTAGTTTAAAAATTCTAAAATAATATTTTTTGAATATAAAAATAATATAAAAATAATATAAATTTAATAATTAATAAAATAAAACACAAACTACTTTTTAATTATTATTTATTAATAATTAAGTTTTATCCGTTAAAACTAACACATCCTGACATTATTTGTTAAGACCATTATATAAAATATTTTTTAAATAATAATTTTTTATTAAAATTATAACGGGACATATATCATCAGCGCTCCTACCGATACCAATCGCACATTACAAAGTCGATTTTATAATGTGCGATATAAAACCACATTTAAATTTATTAAAATTATATTATATTTAATTATATTTGATATTATTGTCTAATTTCGTATTAATTATATGTTTATTAATATTATGTTTTGT